AAACTCTTATCTCCAATTAACCACCAAAGAAGCCAGAAGTGGAGCTCTGGCTCAAGTGGTTGAGCACCAGCCTTGAGCAGAAAAAATAAAACAAAAAAAGCTCATGGACAGCACCCTGGCTCTGAGTTCAATCCCCAAGATCAGCATACACATAAAAATGATGGTTTGGAAAACACTCTCCCCGTGTTTAGCAACTCATACTAAGGCCAAATATCATTTCCTTGGGCAACGCTTTCCTGATCAATCAGCCCAGAATAGGTTGTTCTGTTACAGCATTTCCACATCTTACATGTTCTCTTCTGAACACTTATTATAATGATTTTTAGTTGTAGAATGTTTGATCTATTTTTTCTCTTTCCTTAACGCTGTCAGCACTGGGGCTTGAACTGGGTATGATGACACTCAAGTGGCACATTTCTTGTGGCACTGATCAAGAGTATTAGTGGACAGACAAGAAGGTGACCAGGCAGCAGAGCATTATGTATGCTACATCAAAGCACACTTACAATTGAAGGGCATAAGTTGGTCTGAAAAAGATTTGTTTCCAGAGAGTGTTGAAATGCAGAGCCCAGTGATCAGTGGGCTTCAAAAGTGAAGAGCAAGGCAGAAATGGCTTTCCTAGCCACAGGGCCAATTCTCCAGGGAGGCTTCAAGTGCAAAAGGCTGGGTGGATAGTGATCATAGATCCACACTAAGTAGCTGTTCAGAGAGAATATCCCTGAAGTGCACATTCAGAGCAATGGACAAGGTGACAGAACAACCCTACATATATTTAACGGGACTGAAGTCATGCAAAGTACATTCTCTGACCTACATAGAATGAAGCTAAAAATCTGTTTACAGAAAGTTAAAGAATCTATTTTTTTTGTTGTTTGTTTGTTTTGATCAGTCGTGAGGCTTGAAGTCTGGGCCTGGCTGCTGCCCCTGAGCTCTTCAGCTCAAGGTGAGCACTCTACCACTTGAGCCACAGCGCCACTGCAGGTTTCCTGAATGGTTTATTGGAGATTAGAGTTTCACAGACTTTCCTGTCCAGGCTGGCTTTGAACCATGATCCTCAGATCTCAGCCTCCTGAGTAGCTTGGATTACAGGCATGAGCCACCAGTGCCCCACTAGAATCCATAATATTTTTATTTTGTTTTTCTTTTTTTTTTCCATTGCTGGGTCTTAAGTTTGGCCTGGGCACGGTCCCTGAGCTTCTTTTTGCTCAAGGATAGTGTTCTACCCCTTGAGCCACACTACCACTTCTGGCTTTATTGGAGATAAGGGTCTCATGGACTTTCTTGCCCGGGCTGGCCTTGAATCAAGATGCTCAGATCTCAGCCTCTGAGTAGTTAGCATTACAGGTGTGAACCACCAGCACCTACCTGGAATCCATACTTAATAGCACACTCCACAGTAGGTCAAAGTCAATAGGGAAACTAGTTAATTTTCTGAAACAAATGAAAAGGAAAAAAAACATGCAGCTAACGCAGAACTGAGAGAAAAACTTGCACACACACATTAAAGAAAACAAATTAGTATGCAACTTCATAGCTTCAGGAATGAACAGCAAACTATGACTTCCAAGCACACTGAGGACATAAGAAATTAAAACTAAATCCCAAGTAAGTACTACAGAAAATAAAACGATGAAGATTAGAACAGATATTAAGGAAACAGTAGAAAATAGCAGAAAAAAATCAATGAAACAACAGAAAAATCTATTTTTTTTCTAGGAACAAAAAGCAATACAGCCTTAGTGAAATTAAGTGAAGAAAGCATGCTTTAGAGAAAGGATGCTCACAGGAAGAAGGCGTTGTGTAGACAGGCCTCACTGGCAGAACTCTTCGGCTATGGAATGTCTGGGTAGGTCAAAACTCAGTGGCAGAGTTGAGAGCAGGTAGAGGGCTCTGGCAAAGGGCCAGAAGTGGGAGACATTCAGAAGCAGAGAACAGTGAGCACAAGGCACTTGGAAGCAGGTTTGGCATCTTCCCCGTGATGGTACTGCGAAGAGAAGATTCACATGTTTGAGAAAGTGGAGGACATTTACAGGCCAATGACCTTCCTGAGCAAAACACAGTCTCCAGAGGACAGCACACTAGACGGTATGGGGAGGGAGCCCTTGTAAGTATACTCCCAGGGGAAAGGGAGCGGATAGAAAGCAGGAAGAGGAACACATAGGCCCAATAGTGGAATCCACTTGCTTAGTGGCAACATGGTCAACAAGTCATTTTTCATGACGTCACCCTGTTTTACTCTGTATCATATACCATCACCGGCTGAGACAGCAACACGTAATTAGGAGCTACTGATATAGTCCTCGTTCTGTGAATTCGTACTCCCTCCTTTCCCAGTCATACCCTCTGTATGGTGATCAAGAGTGGTATGAGGGACACTAGAACAGTGCTTAGGTTCTTGCTCAGTGGTGGACAGAGTTCTCTGAATGCCACGTGTTCTGTCTTTGGACTTCTTGACCCTGGGTTGGAACAAGACCTTGATGGCATTCTGGGTACATTTTCAGATGACACAAAATGTGGAAGCCTGGCTCACTTGATAGGCTGAATGATAACTCAACAGGATTCAGACAGTCTGGGGTATTGATCATAAGGAACAAGATGAAGCAGCTTTTGTGATTGGTACATACGTAGAGGAGCAAGTTCCAGTGTACATTGGGTGGCACCTTTGGAGAGGGCCTTTGAGACATGTGCATTCAGAATTAGTTTCAGGGATGTGGATATGTGATGCTGAAGTTAATTCCTGTGTAACTAATGGAAGCTAATAAAAAATATGAAAACAATTAGGGTCAAAGAAGAAAAGGGACCAATGCTATTTAAATGGGAAAAACTGACAGAATATGAGCCCCTGAGAAGTGTCTTCATCTATTTTAGGGACTGGTATATAGGAGAGGTTTTACAGACCATCATGGGTGACAATTAAAGGTGAAGAGATTGTTAACTGAATTGAAGAATACATTTTGTAAAACTAAGGCTGTCTACGGACACACTGGGAAGGAATTGAGCTCCTGCTCACTCCAAGTATGTAATAGCACTCATAAAGGGATGCTCCCCAAAAGAATGCTGTGTTCCTTAGTAGCATTTGCTGAGTCTAGATATCTCCACTACTTGTGCATAATACTTTATATCAAGTATGTAGCTGCTTGTGTAGAAAAAATGAGTTCAGGTAAATTATACACATAGTAGAACACACCAAGTTATTACTCATAACAAAGGAAAGCTTAACACTGGCTTGTGTAATAGCTTAACATTTATTGTAATTGTGTACATTAATGTAGATTAAGCAAGTATAATTAGAAACACTAAGCAATTCAAAAGAAAGCAAAAACAATTCAACCATTCCTCTTCCTTATGTCTACAGATTTCGGTGTCTTGTAAGAAATGAAAGAAGCTGTTTTGGATCAAAATCAGAATTCATTTTACAACCTGTCTTTTCGTATCTTACATTTTGGTTCTAAATTCCCTTAATGATAGAGTATAACTTTGAAGTGGAGAAATCAGCCTATCTGAGGTCTCTTTACCTTATGTTCTACTTTAAGGGCCTTCACTGATACTCTGGGATAGCACTTCTCACCGAAGAGTGGCTTTTTTCTCTTGTTCCCATTCATTCAGCACCTGAGTGTTAGTGCTCATCATGTGCCAAGACCCATGCCGAGAATCAGACTTCAGGAAGACTAGCTCATGTAGTGTGAGTACAGAGTGTACCATGCCAACTTGTTTTATATCTTTCAGAGTAAATCATATGCACAACTACACAAATAAATGACACGTTCCGATCTACTAATTTGGCAGGAAGAATATGCCCACAAATCATTGTGCATAGGGTTCAGAAAATGTGAAAAGATGGAAAGACATGTTCAAATAAGATCAAGAGAAGAGGCCTTCATTTTTAATTTTTTAAAAAAGACAACTTTTTTTCCCCCAGTCCTGGAGCTTGAATTCTGGGCCTGGGCACTGTCCCTGAGCTTCTTTTGCTCAAGGTTAGCACTCTACCAATTGGACCACAGCTCCACTTCTGGCTTTTTTGGTAGTTTATTGGCAATAAAGAGTCTTACAGACTTTCTTGCCTAGGCTGGCTTTAAACCATGATCCTCCTATCTTAGTCTCCCAATTAGCTAGGATTATGGGTGTGAGCCACTGGTGCTCGCTTTCACTCAAAGAACTTACAAATTACTGTTGGGGCTAAAGGCAGCAGAGTACAGTCAAGTTCATGCAGTCAGCACACTGTGCAGATGGGCCTGCCTGTGTGCTGCCAGCCAACAGATTCCTGTGTTCTCTGAACTCAGGGCCTCAGTAGTTGTGGCTACCTTGAGACAGAAGTTGGACTGGAAATCAGGTCACCGAAGGCTCTGTGGTCAGGGAAGCAGGCCTATTGGATTTTTCTCTGGTTAGACAAGCACCTCTTTGGGAAGATCTGGGAACTAAATCTGATCCCACTTGAAAGCTTTGGTTTGGAGGAATTTTCATAGAAAAGGGAGGAGAGGGAGAAAGGGCAATCTGACTCTTGGAGCATTTTAGGGAGTCCCTTTGATGCTTAGAGGAGAAGTTGGTCTCACAATGTTCCCCTCTGTAAGAGTATACTCCATGAGAAACTCATAGGGTGGTGTTGCATGGTGGGAATTAGGTGCCCTCCAAACAGCGCTTGGCATATACTGAACACCAAATCAATTGGCTCCTGGAGAAAGCATGGGCTGTGGGGAGAGGCTGCAGTGTTTCTGCACAGGCTTCTGCAGAAGGTCAGGCCAGCTCCTTGAGCTTTACTACCTTGTGTAACGTGAGGACAAAAATGCCCACCCCCCTCCTCAGGATGGTCACAGAGATTAATGCCTTCACTTTTTGATAACAGCTGGTATGTGGAGAGGCCTTAGGAAATGTGATCTGCTTTTTCTCTCGTCTTAACCTTGCTGGGGTCTATGTACCCTAAAAGCTAGTTGAGAGGACTTCTGTGTCAATCTCAGCGAGTAGGAATTGAAGGCAAAGATATTAATCAGCTATCAACATCCCTAAAGTCATACTCTATTAAATTTAGGTCTAACTGGGTAAACTTCTCAAAACATACCCACAAACCTTCACAGAAAAACAAATATGGTGAAAGGAAGATAGGAGGAAGTAATTAAAATCTGCTACATAACTCCATGTAAAACAACTAATTTAAAATGTGGATGGAAAAATTTTTAAATGCATATGGCAAATAGACAAGCCATTAGCCTATTTAATGCCTAGCATTCAATGCCTGCAATTTACCCACCAGGGATCGTCAGTACTTTTCAATGTGGTCCCTCAGAAGCCTCAAGAGAATCAGCACATTGAGCCCCACACTTCTGCCCAGGCCTAACATCCAGATTGGCTGCATTTGTTAAAAAGCCAGTATGTCTTAGAGAAGCCAAAATGCAGTTCCTATTTGATCCTTTGATCAAGGAGTTCAAGCCTGAAATGAACTCATAGCTGTAAAGAGATTTCTTAAGCTATAAAAACTACACACAGAAGTAATTGGTGTAGCATCATTAAGATTCAGTATTGGATGTTAGTAAGTTCAATCTAAGATGGGTAGAAGTATGAAGAGATCAGTGAGAGAGAGAAAGAGAGGAGCCAGTAACTTTAGGCAATGGGATAGCCAAACTTGTCTGGGATTCATCAGCTTCTGCTCAGCCGGTGGGGAGCTAAAAGGAAACAGAAGTATGATATTGGAAATAAACATCTAACCCAACATTCAGCCACAGACCCTGGGGGCAGGTAATCTGTCATCCCCAGTGCTCAAGAGCTAGAGTCCAACTCAAAAGCATCTTCTGGAGAGAAGGCAACCAGCATATAGCTGGGGCAAAGAGCTTGCTTGCTACCCATTCCAGTTGCCTTCAAGGGAAATTTCCTGCTCTGTATTCAGATACTTGGGGAAATCCCACTGACTGTTAGCTTAGAGGCTAGTCTACTCAATACCCAGGCTCTGATGTTTGGATTTAAAGCTGGGCAGAAAGTGTTCAAAAGGCTCTGAAAGAATAGAGTAGAAAGGCCACAACTGGAGTCTGAAGACCTGGGGTAAGGTCTTGATTCTACTACAAACCAGCTAGGTGTTTTAGGTGTGCCCCCAGACTCTTTTTCCTTGTCACAAAATGGGACTAACAGAGGTCCAGTGGCATCCCAGAGATACAGAGCTCAGATGAGCTTCTGGGTGGGAGGTACTGTGGACAGGAAGAGACTATGACTAGGCCAACTTGGAAGTATCCCCATGGAGTAGTACCCAGGCTACTGAAGACCTCAAGTGTCAAATGGCACAAGACAAGTACTCAGGGCCCTCTGAACCAAAAGGCTGAGAGGGATAGCAGGGTCCTGGGGAAAGACATAGGCAGAGACCTAGACAAATTTCTTCCCTCTGGTAGATTCTTGACTGCTTATCTTATGGGCTGTAGGCACCCACCTAGAAGAGCTTTCCATAGCATTTCCCACAGTGGATGGTGTCTCGGTGAATGAAGATCTGATCCAGGAGGTCACCCATTGGTTTATTGCAGATGCCACACTGCAAGAGAAAGCCAGGTGGCTGTCAGTACTCAAAGCTGGAAGGGGGCAGGCAGATGCTGTGAGCCCATAGCACAGCCTGAACTTCCAAGAAGACAATAAAACAAGGCAAGAAAAACAACCTAGTGTGTTGGCTCATGCCTAGTTACTCCAGAGGCGGGGATCTGAAGCATTATGGTTCAGGTCTAGCCTAGGCAGAAAGTTAATGAGACCACATCGTAATCAGGTGGTACACGTCTGTGATCCCAGCTGTGTGGTTGGCTCAGGTATGAGGAGCATCGTCTTAGGCTGGACCTGAGCAAACACATAAGACCCTACTGACAAAAATAACTAAAGAAAAAAAGGTCTGGAATCATGGCTCAAGGGGTAGAGTGCCTGCCTATCAAACAAAAGGCCCTGAGCACAAACCCAAGTACAGACACCAGGGGAAGGAGAGAAGCAAAACTCAACTTCAAACATAAGACAAAAAACTCATGCTTGTGTGTGGGGGGGATTCCTTTAATTGTTCTTGTATGTTTAGTTGGTTTTGCTGGGGCTTTGTTGCAGGCCCTTAAATGTTAGGCGAGCACTGTACACAGTGCAGCTTCCAGCTACCTCCAGAATCTTCTTTTTTTCTTTTTGTTTTTGTTGGTCATGGGGCTTGAACTCTTGGCCTGGCTGCTGTCCCTGAACTCTTCAACTCAAGGCTAGTGCTCTACCACTTGAGCACAGCGCCACTTCTGGTTTTCTGAGTGGTTGGAGATTAGAGTCTCATGGACTTTCCTGCCTGGGCTGGCTTTGAACTGTGATTTTCAGATCTCGGCCTCCTGAGTAGCTAGGATTACAGGCGTGAGCCACCGGAGACTGGCTCAGTTCCTCCTTTCTTCTCATTCTCCCCCTCATATTTGCCACACTAGCAATGCCAGCTAGCACCCTCCAGGCTTCCATCTTAGGACCTTTATATTTAGTGCCCCTTTGTTGAGAAGAAGACCACTTTTGTCTCTCCTATTGGTACTAGCCATGTGCAGCTACCAATTCCCCTTCACTTCCTCAGTCCTGCAGCACATGTAAGACAGTTCACACTTGCTCACAGACAGCAAACTGCCTTCAAATCCTCTAGAACCCATGCCACTCTTATGCTCAGTGGGATGTCACCAGCACCATTCTTCCATCTTACCTTAAAACAATATTCATGGCAGCAGATGCCAAGATGTTCTAAGGTAATCTTTGGACAGTCTCGGATCTCCCGGCTGCAGTAAGTGCAGATACCTCCAGTTGTTCTGTAAGAAGAAAGACAAGAAGCCAGTGATAAAGCTGTCTTTTAGGTTTCTGACATGATTCAACAAGACCTACTGTCTTGATGTAGCCAGCCCTACAGCCTCTCAGCATATCCAGCCTGCTCCTTATTTCTGTGGTGCACAATTAGGAGCGTAGCCCTGAGTCCTAGGTCTAACCCATTCTCCACTAGTCTTGTGTGACAGCCCTTCTCCATGTTATGCCTGGGATTGCGGAACCCTGCTCTTCTGCTTCTGTATTCTTAGGCTGATCCCGCAGTTAGTCTGCTTGGACAACCTGCTTTAATCATGTGAATGTTGAAGATACTGCCTTTTGGGGTGATTCATAACCGCGTTCCAGGAGCTCTGGTTTGTTTCTTTTTGGTTTTATGTGCTGGTACTGAGGCCTGATCTCAGGGCCTCACAATCTCCCTTGGCTATTTTTGCTCATGGCTTATGCTCTATCAATTGAGCCATACCTCCAGTTCTAGCCTTTTGCTGGCTAACTGGAAATTAGAATCTCACTGATTTGTCTACCTGGGCTGGCTTGGAACTGTGATCCTCAGTTCTCAGCCTCCTGAGTACCTTGGACTATAGGTGGGAGCCACCAGTACCTGGCACTGGTTGAGAGAGTTGGTTTGTTGGTGGTTAATTGGAGATGATAGTGTCACAGACTTTCTTGCCCCGACTGGCTTCAAACCAGGATCCTCAGATGTCAGTCTCCTGAGTAGGTGTGAGGCACTGGTGCCTGGTAGATCCACCTTTTTGTTTGTAACAGTCACCTGTGCTTTTCCTCTTCACATAAGATGTACCAAAAGCTCCCGTTTGCTCTGCTCCTCCAGGCTAAAATCATGGGTGCTCTTTTCTAGAGATGTATACCTCCTTCTCACAGGACCCAGGGAAGTGCTAGCAGCGTGGCTTCCTCAGGTCCTGCCAGAGCCCAGCATTATCATGGTATGCTGCATTCAGCCATCCACCTTCCTATTGGCCAGAGCTCTTTGTAGGTATCAGTGTTGCAAGAGAGCCCTGCCTTAGCAAGAGGAATCCACTGCATTAGCCCTTCTATCTCACTCAGTCTTCCTTCGCACGTGCACATGTCTGTGCACCTGACACTGACGCCTGAGGTTGTCCTTGGAGAATCTCCTGCTTTCCTCTAAACTCAGCAATTGACCAGAAATGTTTGATTCTGGATTAACATTTGTACCACAAGGAGGGGGAGCTCTAGGCTATCTGATCTGCCTTATTCCATTTAACCCTATACAATTGATTCATTCCTATGTTTTTAATCACTTGCTCTCCTCTGGTTGGAGTGTGTGCCCAAGGGTTCATGTGCTGAAAGCTTGGTCTTCAGTATGGTATTGGGACATGCAGTGGGATCTTTAAGAGTTAGGCCTCAGGGATATAATTAGGTCATTGAAAGAGAGCAATGTAGATCTTTCATAGTTAGGTCAGTTCCCCCAAAAAAGGATCCTGTGATGCCACGAGGCCTCTCACCCTAGCCAAACATGTTAGTGTCATGTTCTTGAGCTTCCACTGCTGTCAGCTAAAGAAGCCTCTCTTCTTTAGAAACTTCTCTGCCTCAGGCATTTGTGATAGCAACAGGTAACAGACTAGTATATTGCCATTTGTGCTAAGAATTCACCTGGTGATGTGGTTTACTAAGTGATATGTGGTTGCCCAGGATTTAGGTGTTTGGCTCTTTCTTCAGCCATCCTGGAAAGGATTTCTATGGCCTTGTTCATTCATCTGCTCCTCTGACTATTCTGTTAGGGAGAGGAGAGACTTAAAAGATTCTTTTCTTTTCTTTTTCCGGTGGTAGGACTTGAACTCTGGGCCTGGGCGCTGTCCCTAAGCTCTTCAGCTCAAGGCTAGCACTCTACTGCTTGAGCTACAGCACCACTTCCAGTTTTATGGTGGTTAATTGGAGATAAGAGTCTCAAGGACTTTCCTGCCTGGGCTGGCTTTAAACTGCAATCCTCAGATCTCAGCCCCCTGAGTATTTAGGATTACAGGCGTGAGCCACCAGCATCTGGTAGGTTCTTTTCTTTTCAACTCTTCCTTCTTTCCATTTTTTCCAAGTCTAGCCATGGTTTTGGAACATCCTCACAGCACTTTAGAGCTAGCAGTAAATGAGAAGGCATTAGGACTAGTTAGGCAGTAGGATTTAGCTATGGCTCTGCCACCAACTCCCTGCATAACTTACTCTTCTTTTCTTCACTGTAACCAGAATGGATACAATTTCAAATGTTCTTTTCCCTCTTATTCCAAGAATTTAAAAGTAGGAATTCTTTGTTATCAAAATCATCCTAAGATTGTGCTATCATCTGGCAGTGCCTTTCATGACTGGTGAGTGAGGAGTCACAGGCCCTTTATTCAATTCAATGACTCTATACCCTTGTGCATTCTTCGTTTTGTAGTTTTGACTTCTGATTAAATGTGCAATAGTGGCTCATTAGTTTCTGATCTGAACTGCCTCTCCTGAGGAAGTGACCCCTGGGTTTTCAGACACTACCACTTCCCTTCTTGGTTGCCTGATGTGTCTATTTTTTGCTTTGAACTGGGTTCACAGGCTTGAGTTGCCATAAGAGTGATATCCTGAGGAAAGTGGCACCACCCTACATAGTGTATTACACTGTGTGACAGATGTTCTAATAGATCAGAAATCACGAAGAAGCTGACTAAAGCAAACAGATACAGTGCAGAGATATTCTTCACTGTCTTTTGTATGTGGAACTGCAAGCTCCTTGGTCAGAAAGTAGACGTACCTCTCAGAGTATGGAGTGCTGTTGTATGGGAGCTTCTTCTCCATGTCAAGCGAGTCCTCGGCACTGCTGACACTGGAAACATGATGGAGAGCAAAAGATGGGAGTCAGATCATAAACACCATCATGAGCAGGGGACACTTCTCTCATGAATTCATGGCCTCAAGCTGAGACATAACTACACTGACAGGCATCACTCATAATCCTAAATGGCACTTGGTACCATAAGAGGCATAATGATACCAAGGAGGTTTAATTATCTGGATGAAGAACCCTTTCATGGGGATAAACAAGATCCCTTGGGAAGGGAGATGACATGGCTTCTTGGATACAAGAAGACCTTCAGTTCTACTGACCAATAGAAAAAGACTAGAGCTTTTCCATTCATGTATGTGTCTGGATTACACTGTGAGTTACCTGGAGCCCACTAACAGCAGAAAGCAGACACTATTTCTGGGAAAGGCAAGAGAAGTGTACAGCATGCCATCTCTGCTTCCTTTATATGGTAGGATTAGGCATGAGGTGGAACTTTTCATTTCCATGTTTTCATTTTCTTTTCTTTTCTTTTTTGTCAGTTGTGGGGCTTGAACTCTGGGCCTGGGTGGTGTCTCTGAGCTCTTCAGCTCAAAGGCAAGCGCTCTACCACTTGAGTCACAGTGCCACTTCCGGTTTTCTGGTGATTAATCAGGCTGGCTTTGAATCATAATCCTCAGATCTCAGTCTCCTGAGTAGCTAGTATTACAGGCGTGAGCCACCAACACCCACCTTTCATTTTCAATAGTACTGTTTGTTTTTATTTAATAAAAAAAACTAATGGCTTGCAAATATTTTCCGGGAAAACAGCTGGTTAGCTACATACCTCAAAACCCCCTAATGGAGCTGCCATTTCCTTTGGTGCCCATGAGGTATTGAGGAATTGCTAGTCAGAGACCAGTCAACCTGCCTATAGTGCAACCCTGAATAAAAGATGAGTTGACTTTTCAGCCTTGGACCTGATTTCTTGTCAGCATGAAGTTTCTCTAAGCTTCCTGAAAGGGAAAGCAAAAAGGGAAAGCAGGAGACTACTACACAGTACTCACTGCCTGCTAAGGAAAAAGTCCGAGAGTTTTCACTAGATATAACATTGTAATTAAATGTTTAATTCAATTTTAAAATAAATTTAATTGTCAAGGATTGAAGAATGAGCCAGGTACTGGTGGTTCACATTTGTAATCCTAGCTACTCAGGAGGCTGAGATCTGAGGGTCATGGTTTGAAGGCAGCCCAGAAAAATCCATGAGACTCATCTCCAATTAACCAGCAAAAATGGACTTGTGGCTTGTTCAGTAGATCATTAGCCTTGAGTGAAAAAGCCAAGCAAGAGTGCATGGCCCGTCAGTTCAAGCCTTAGTACCAACCCTCAAAAAAGAGTCCATTAATGAAATTTAACAGACTGATAGTGAAAAAGAAGAAAATGGGACATGATTCAGTGAAGGAAGGGCAGAGACAGCACCTACGGCTATGCTGCAAGCTTCATACGCGTCACTTCTCGTCTTAGACCCTCCTTGAAGAAGGCTACAGAGACAGAACACAGAGGAGTGTGTGGTCCAGGGCTGGAGGCAGTAGGGGGTCTGTTAAGGGTTCAACGGGTTCTTTGTTGGGAGAAGGTAACAATCCTATTCTGGAATGGGATAGTGACAGTTGCATACTTCTGTGAATATACCCAAACCCACTGGATTATATACTTCAAGGACACATTCCAACTCAGAAAGCATCTTTATCTAAAATAAACCAAGCAGTGAGAGGTCATCTGAGACTTGGAACTTCACGCTGCTGCTCATGCTGATCAATCACTCCAGCCATAGTGAAAGCCAGTGTAGAAGACTTCCAGAAGCCCAGGATGTTCATCTCTGGTTACTAAAATCTTCACCCCTAGCTAGGCAATGGTGACTCACGCCTATAATCCTAGCTACCCAGGAAGCTGAGACCTGAGGATCATGATTTGAAACCAGCTTATGCAGGAAAGTCTGTAACAGTCTCATTTGCAATTCACTACCAAAAATCCACAAGTGGAGCTATGGCTCAAGTGGTAGAGTGCTACCCTAGAACAAAAGAAGCTCAAAGACAGCATCGAAGCCCTGAGTTTAAGCCCTAGGACCAACAAGCACATACAAAAACATCCTCAGCCCTGCAGTGATATCACATTCTGTGAGGCCCCGGGTACCCTGCCTCCATGTGGGCAGGTGGGAAAACACTGAGGTGACATGGAGATGGCCTTCTATGTGCCCTCAGAAAGCAAGGAGACACTGAAAAGATGACTAGTGAAAAGTACATACACATCAAGTACTACTCATGTGCTCTCAACTGACGCAGTCTGGTGAGGAAGAACATGGGGCCAAAGACAAGAGTCCTGTGATCTGGAACAGGATGGATTCAATGAGATAACCCTAAGGGCCCCACCATCTCTGCAACAAAAGAAAGTGGCAAAGTGCTGGGTGCCACTGGCTCACACCTGTCATCCTAGCTACTAAGGAGGGTGAGATCTGAGGGTCATGGTTCAAAGCCAACCTGGGCAGGAAAGTCCGTGAGACTCTTATCTCCAATAAACCACTCAGAAAACCAGAAGTGGCACTGTGACTTAAGTGGTAGAGTGCTAGCCTTGAGCGGAAGAGCTGAGGGACAGCACCCAAGCCCAGAGTTCAAGCCCCATGACTGACAAAAGAAAGAAAGAAAGTGACAAAGACAAACAGAAAAGAGAGGCACTGGGTACGGGATATAGAATGATCTAACTGTTAGGCGAAAAGTCAAAGGCACCAATTATGCAGCACATCTAAAAAATACAGAAAGTCATGTCACTGGCAAATCATATGACATGTCCTTTCAACAATAAGATTACCCAGAAGCTACTCAGAGCTGAGCCCTGGAAAAGGGAATCAGATACAGGAATGAGGGCAACACAAGGCCTGGCAGAAGGCCATGACAAGGAAGGATCTGGAACATGCTCTTACCTGCCATACCGTGGAGATGCTGGCTTCCCAGAAGACACCTCACTAGCGTTCATGTACTCCTTCACAAACACAATGCCTTTGCTGAAGAAGCACACACACAAAAAAAAAAACAGAAGGAAATATACTAGAACATTCCAAAGGACTGGATGTAGCCTGGAGAGATCAGTACCCCTAACCATGTTTGAACCAGAAGTGTAGAAGGTGACAGGAAGGTGCAGGTTACAGATGCTGGTGGCTTGTATATACCAGCCTCCACAAGCAGCAACAGACAAAGTTACTGAGACCATTGTGGATGGGCAAAAAGCTCCGCCTGGGGCTGGGATGTAGGTCAGTGGCAAAGCGCTTGCCTAGCAAGCGCAACGTCCTGGGTTCGATCCCCAGTACCAAAAAAGAAAAGACAAAAAAAATACAGTTAAAAAAAAATCCACACAAAAAGCTCCGCCTGTAGGTTGTGTTTGGACCGAGAGAGGATCCTGTAGCCTTCCTCCATGCTGACCTCAATGCCAGCACCCTCTTGCTAGACTCCTGCACTTCCTGCCAGTGCCTTTCTACTGCTCCTCTGTAGCTGTGTCTTCTTCTTCTACCCACAACCAGAATATTGTTCAAGTCTCAATTGTTTTCCATTCCAGCCCTTTCTATCTGGTACCTTCCCTCAAGGCCCTCAGCTCTTGTACCATTTCCATGTCAAATTTAAGCCCTCTCTCCTTCTTGAAGGTCCCCAGGCCCAGAAGTCCCCTTATCCCACACAGGCCTCTGGGAGCACTGGGAACAAGGTTCTGCATGATGCTGGGCTCAGTAGGGCTCACACTTAGCCCTCATTTTCACATTACATGCTGCAGCCTACTGCCAGATGTTAGCATAGGGCCCTCTAGTCACCCCCTGAGCACACACGACTTCTCTCAGCAGACTCCCTGCAATGCCCTCCCTTCCTGCATGCTAAGAGGTGGCCAGAGGTGCAGGTGAGGCCGTGGGTGGATGAATGAGACACACACAGGCATGTTTCATGGGCATGCTAGCAAGGTCGCATGGGTGGCGGAGACCTGGTGCTGGTTGCATCCATTGATGCCATGCACACACCATCTCAGCTTTATACAGGGATAGGGAAAGGGGATAGAGAGCCAAATGCAGGCCTGCAAACAGGTCAAAGGTGCTAGTAAATATACTAGGGGGACTAAAACAGAACTGTGTCAACCCATTGTGGGAAGCATTACAAGGGAGGAATAGGAAATGAAAGCTGAGTCTTTTGCTTCCTAGGAGAACACAGAAAGCTGCCACCATGCACCCAGAAAACCCCTTCTGCGATGGCAGGTCTCCCTTCTTACGTGGTTGGGCTGGATTCCAATTCACTTGAGGAGCCCGGAATATAAATGTGAGGTTGCTCGGAAGTGGCCGTGACAGTCACCGTGACCATGCAGCTTGATGGACTTTTCACCCTGAAAGAAATGGAGGACAGGCTTGGCTTGGGACACAGGCCGGGCATTTCCTTCACGCCGAGTTTTCTAGCCTGATGTCAAGACTGTTAGTTCAATGGATTTTAAAGAATAACAGTATTTCTTATAACTTTTTCTTTGAGGGGGGGTCCGGTCATGGGGCCTGAACTCTGGGCCTGGGCGCTGTCCCTCAGCTCTTCAGCTCAAGGCTAGCGCTCTACCACTTGAACCACAGCACCACTTTCGGCTTTTTTCTTTTTGCTTGGTGCTGAGGAATCGAACCTAGGGCCTCATCCATGCAAGGCAAGTGCTATACCACTGAGCCACCTTCCCAGCAAAAAAACAGTATTTCTTAAACCATGCCTACAACTCACTAATCATTTGCTACTAGATAGATATTGATATATGCATTTCCTTCCTTCCCATTTTTATTACCATAAAATAATTGTGCAAAGGAGTTTTACTGTCATCTTTACATACATGAATACAGTGTCCTTTGAGCTAAATTCACTCCCTTCTATTCCTCTTTGTTAACCCTCTCCCTCCTCAGCTTTTAGTGAACTTCACTGTACTATTTTCATGTATGCAATAATACACTAGATCATAGCCCATAACTTTCTCTTTTCTCCATCCTTTCTCCCACAGTCCTTCCCTTTACAATCATGTCATGTGCTCAGAGGTCAACAAATGAACGTGTTGCTTTATGGAACAGAAAAGCAGCTGGACTGCGTGGAGACATAGCCCAACTCACACCTTGACTCGGCACTGCGAGACCCCAATCTTCCAACCTGACTGAAGCTCAGGTCCCGGACCTCTGTGAATAACTTGTGGGGATGCTAACGATATGACAGTGAGGACAGAGAAAGGAAGACACAGAGCAACTCGCCTCCTAGTCAGGCAGACAGTCCCTCTCCCAGACCTGCAGAGAAGTCTGCAGAATACAAGGCCAAGGCAGAAAGCCAAATGAATGTAGATGTGGATGAGGACAAAAGTCAGATGCACATCCTCCAGGAAGGCTCCTGCCAGACTCCATGCCACAGAGGGTTCCGGTCCTGGGATGCAAACTCCAAGGCTGCTCCCAGGCCTTTCTCTGCCCAAATTCTAGTTGCCCCACACTCTACCTTCTTGTGCCAAAGTCTGCACGATGCCTGATGTCATTCTAGACCTCCTGTCAGGCACCACTGATCACCTTTTCCTTTGTGCTTCAGCCATGGGCCAGTGCTGGGCACACCCAGCCCTGTGCTGACATGGGCTTCTCTGCCACTCTTTCCTTACTGTGGATATGGCTCTTGCACCTGGCCCAGCTCTGGAGCATCACTTTCTTGCCAGGGAATCCAGTGCCTGACAGTCCAAATGCTTTCAGAATGAGCAGTCATGACCTGGTACCTGCCTAGCTCTTCTTCATCCCAGTCTCAAGCTGAGTCGTATGCAACCAAACCCCCAGCCACACTGATTGGCTTGCAGTTCCCCAAGAGAGCTGGCTTTAGAGAGAACACCTAGGGACCTGCCTGTCTACCGCACGTTGCGTATCCTGTGTCTACTACTCCTGTAGCGCCCCATGAAGCAGGGATACAGAGAAGAGAGTGGATGGAAGGGGAGACCCCACAGGAACTTGGACACACAGGTATATGTGGGGAGGGGAGAAATAAAATGCAAAAGCCAAGAATAAGAAGAGAATTTTCTTCAAGAAGAAGAGGAAGGCCAGGTGCCGGTGGCTCACGCCTGTAATCCTAGTTACTCAAGGGGCTAAGATCTGAGGATCACGGTTCAAAGCCAGCCCGGGCAGGAAAGTCCGTGAGACTCTTATCTCCATTAAACCACCAGAAAACTGGAAGTGGCGCTGTGGCTCAAGTGGTAGAGCGCTCGCCTTGAGCTGAAGAGGTGAGGGACAGCGCCCAGGCCCAGAGTTCAAGCCTCAGGACCCACAAAAAAAAAAAAAAAGAAGATGAACTTTGTCTAGCTGAACTTTGTCTGGCTGAGTAGTTTGAACATGTGGCAAGCATCCTGTGATCCGTGTCCAGAAGAATGAGCAGACAGCTGAACTGAAGGGATACGGTTCAAAAAGCAATCCCAGGGCAACTGCTCAGCACTGTAACCAGAGCTGCAGGAGCTCTCCCCCCGCCACACACACACACACACACACACACACACACACACACACACTGCTGTCCATCCCTTGGAGGAATTATCCCACTTTCCTCTCAACAGTGTCCTCTCCCTAGCCTAGGACCTAGCTCCTGTCCTGTTCCCCTCACTGTCTCCCCTTCAGCCACATGGCTCATGTCTAATTTGCCCAAGTTGCTTTTTCCCAGGTTATTTACAGGCAAGCCCTTACAGCTGAAGTGCTTCATCAGTACAAGAGCTTTCCCTGACCATCCTGAGCCCCTTCCTGTCAGAGCACGATTTTTCCTTTCTTGGCTTACTGGGGGTAAAACGGCAGGACAGGACGCATATCACTGTGACTAATAACGCAGGTGCTGGGCCGACTGTCTGGATTGTAATCTCTTTTAGGCCATTTCTTGGAACTGAGAGGCACAGAACCACCAGAGAGGTGAGAGCGAGGGCATGGATCAACATCAGGTGAGAGGGCAGGAGAACAGTTTCGAAGCACAAGGACTGAGGGAATCCTGAGGAGTGAAGTCCTCCCTTGGGTCAAAAGCCTCTACTCTACAACCTGCTGGGGCAGGAGCCAAAGGTGCCTTCCCACGAACCAAAGCTGGATGTGGGGGCCAGAAAGCTCCACCACAGAGACGGAGGTGAAGGTCACCTTGCAGGATTGGGGAGAATGTTATCAAGTTAAGATATTTTTCTCCAGCCCTCTATGTCTTCTAATATGTGACGATCCATCCAGAGACCACACTGTATGTCCAAGTTTCCTTAGATACCCTCTCCACACCCAGGAGCCTTAACCAACTGATATAAACTGCCAAAGAGCCTAGAACTGCAGCTTTCTACTGCATCTGAATTCCCCAGGTTCTACCTCATAGATGTTTTTTGTTTGTTTTTGTTGTTTGTTTTCAGACTAGTACTTGGGGCTTAAACTCAGGACTTTGGCTTTTTTTTTTTTTTTTTTTTTGCTCAGGACTAGTGCTTTACCACGTGAGCTGTGCCTCCAGTTCTGGTTTTTTGCTGGTTACTTGGAGATAGAATCTTGCTGAACTGCCTCCCCAGCCTGGCCTCAAATCTTGATCCTCAGATCTCAGTTTTTCCCCTGGGACCTCCCAACTCCATGAATGTCGGAAGTCCCCTGACCCACATTGACAGCCTCCAATTGGCTGTTAGCCTTGGCCTAAGAGATGTCACACTATGGCTCCACGTGAAAGCTGTGCAGGAGTATTGTGAGGAGTATATCCTGACTTGTTTGCTTTTGGTCTGTCTCTGCCTCCATTCAGAGAGTAACAGGCTCTGTGTGTGTGTGTGTGTGTGTGTGTGTGGCCCCTGACAGAACCCCTCAGCTCCAGCTGGCAGATGCCCAGGGCAGCTAGAACCTCACCTGCTGCTGCAGCTCTGCACTTCAACGCACTGCTCAGGACTGCTGAGGCTGCTCTGGGGCTCCAAGGCACTGGGATCTTCTGGTTGCTCAGCGGGTGCGGCTGTGTCTTCCCTGACAGCTCCTGGGGCTCCAGATCTCTCTGGCGAGGCCTCACTGATCTTGGGGCCCACACTCTTCACCTCATAACCGGTGGAGATCCTGAGAGAGAGAGAGAGCGCACGATTGGAGGGAGGGTGGAAGTAGCCCTTGTGAGCTCCGGGCACACTAGCTGTCACAGGCACAGAGGGGCAGCGGCAGAAAGGAGCCAGGCATGCCCTGCACCATAGGAAGCCTGGGAATTGCTTCCTCCAGGGAACTCATCTCTGTTACTGTCTTGTTATTGGAAAAGGCAAAGTACCCTTCATGAGCTCAGTGAGGTGTTAAAATTTTGAGGTTTTGACTGGAAACACACGATGCTGCCATCTTCCTTTACTCCAGTCCTTCTGAGTCTCCAACCTACCACACACTCTTAAAAACACTCAATGCATTCATCAAGATGCATCGTTCTCATAACCTGACTTAGGGGATTGCAACCTCTTTATGCAACTACTTAATGATCATTAAAAAAAAAAGATTCATAGTAGTTACAAGCTGTTCTGTTGAATTGCAGGGAGGGGCATAACGACCTAATCCATCCAGCCTTCCCCTCAGGCTCCCAGGTTAAGAAGCTTTGTGAGCATAGTCTGGGCTGGGAATCTGAGACGGGGTTTTAGCCTAGGCTGCTGCGGAGGCTTCGATAAAGGAGAGAGCAGGTACAACTCTTTAGTAGGCACTGGATAGTCAAAAGGGCTGCGATATCCACTGAGAGGGGGATGGGGTGAAAACTGTTGCTAGGGCGGGGCCCAGAGGAGCGGCTGGAGCCATTTGTGATCCTCAAACGCCATCTACTGGCCATCTCGGGTACACCCTGAAGAGAAACCCCGCAGCTGAGGACGATTATGATCTGGCAGCCATTTCACCTTCAGAACTATTGCATTTCCACAAAAGCACTCCAGCCCCAGATCTCCGATGTGTGAAATGGCTGCGTGCGCAAGCGCACACACGCTTGTCTAAGTGCCCATGATCTTTGTGCACGCATGCGCAGGCATACATGTTTTGCCTCCAGTTTGCATTCAGAGATGGCACACCCCATTCGCTCCTCACCCCCATTCCATCCCAGCTTATTTATTGTGAACTAGTATAGCTCAAGGAAAGTAAATGGTGGTGGGAAACTAGAGCCAGGAATTGAGAGATAAACATTATGTTAATGAATGGCTTTATTAAAAACAGTTTTTTTTAAAGCTTTGTACTCCCTCACAGTTTTTTTTTTTTAAGGCTTTCTGACCTTTCCTGCTTACACTTACTCAACTAATTAGTAGTACACTCTGGGAAAACAGCAAAGATATTGGAAAAAAAAACTTTGGGGAGAAAAAAATGGTTAAACAACTCCATTGATCACAAACAATATACAAAGAAGAAAAACATTTATGTCAAGGGTAGACATTTGTCTTAAAAGAAGCACCTGATGAAACCCATACTTTGTTTAAAAGGATGATCAAGAAAAACAAACATTGATGTCACAATTGCCTAGATTTAGGAAACTGATGGCACCTGTTATCAATGGGTGCAATTGATTATATCAAAGCAGACACTTGGGTGCAGGTGGATCACACTTGTAATCCCAATTGTTTGCCAGCTGGGGCAGAAAACTCTATGAAACTCTTATTTTCAATTAGCCTGCAAAAATCTGGAAGTGAAGCTGTGGCTCAAGTGGTAAAGCACCAGCCTTGAGTGACAAAGCTAAAGGACGGCCACTGAAGATCTAAGCTCAAGCCCCAGAACACCAAAACAACACCGTTAACAACAACAACAACAATAACAACAACAACAAAACTAGGATAACTGCAAGAATGACAGAAAGTACGAGAACAAAGCTGAAGTTGAAACTGGAATAAATTTAAGCTTAACCCCTGCCCATATTTCCACCATAAATATCCATGATGCTAGAGCACCCATTTAGTTACTTAGTGGATGTACTTACATCCATATCTGGGTTGTATACTATTATTGGTTTGGCTTTAGAAATAAACTATCTTGGTCTCTACTTTGATGGGTCCTAAAATTCTTCTTTGCAACATTTCAAATGTAGTCCCCAAGAGCCAAGGTAGAGGCCACTTTCCTTTTAGAGACTGACAATAGTCACAGCTATTATCATGAAGCAGTAACATTTTCATCCTGTTTTTTGCAGATGAAAATCTAAGGGAGGGCCCATCCTCTTGCAGCTAATAAATGTCCGGATGGCCTTTGTCCTGTGTCATTCAGTAAACTGTTCCCCCCCATCTTGTTTCAGCAGGTCACATCTGGCGTCCTTGCCTAGGGAGGACGGAGGGGTAGAAGCTGGGATGTGTTGAGCACTTAAACGTCCTATTCAAAACCAGTGTTTCCCTCAACTTCAGTCCCACATCCCTCCCCTCCTTAACCCATGACGTTGACATCCTTCTGTACATCACTTGGCCAACATCAGTTCCCGTACTTGTCACCATAAACTAGCCATAGCAAACCACACATTAGCACAGGAGAATCTCCCTGTCTCCCGGATCCCTTTCACCACCCAGAAAACTGCATCCTCGAGGTGTCCTGTCCCTTCAGCTAGCTTGGGTGTTCCTTTGATTTTTCCCATGGGGTCTCTTCTCTTCATACTTTCAAGTCAGCCCTGACCCCTGTCATATAGTGTGGCCTTGTCTGTGTCCCCAGTGCTTAGAGCACTTGGCTGGACACACAAGAGTCACTAGGTGCCATTTTGTTTAATTATGGCAGGGGCAGCTTATAAATTCCTGAGGGGGAAAAAATCAAAATCCCTATGTTTTTCAAGGTCCCCAGTTTTTGGCTGACACCTTTCTCGGTCTACGTCTCATCTGTCTACAAAACAGAGGCTTCTTTCCTTCCCACAGCTCTGAGACTATGCTATGACGTCAGCAACCGTCCTCCCTCTCCTTTGCTGTCTTCTATTTCAGCAGCAAACTCAGCTTGTCTACTATGTTGCTTTCATATCTAGCCATCCCTCCCTGCCACCCGGGAGCTATGGATACCCGCCTGTCTCCCACAGCTGCAATTGCACTGCGCCTTGGTTCACACTCCTAACATCACTCTCTCCTCCTCCCTAACCCTCTTCCCCAAGGCAGCGGCCATGGCACTGACATCACCCCTATCTAATTCTTCCATTTATCCCAAGTCTTCCTTCTCACACCCTCTCTATGGATCCTCTTCCTTACCTAGGCCTGTCAACATCATTGATTTTTACCTCTTTTTTTTCTTTTTGCCAATCCTCAGGTTTGAACCCAGGGCCTGGGTAATGTCCCTAAGCTTCTTTTTGATCAAGGCTAGTGCTCTACCACTTGAGCTCAAGATTTTTTTTTTGGTAGTTAATTTGAGATAGGAGTCTCAGGAGCTTCCTTGCTCTGGATGGTTTGTCCCTCAGCTCTTCAGCTCTAGGCTAGCGCTCTACCACTTGAGCCACAGTGCCACTTCTGGCTTTTTTCTTTTTGCTTATGGGTGCTGAGGAATCGAACCCAGGCCCTCGTGCATGCAAGGCAAGCGCTCTACCACGGAACCACCTTCCCAGCCCTGGTTTCAAATTGTGATCCTTAGATCTCAGCCTCCTAAGTAGCTAGGATTACGGCCATGAGCTACCAGCACTTGACTTTACCTCTTTTTATTTTGTATACTTGATTAGGGGTTCGGGAGGCCAATAATGCCCTTCTTTTTCTCTGTTTGTTGTTGTTGTTTGTGGGGCTTGAACTCGGCTTGGGCGCTGTTGCTGTGCATTGCAGCTCAAGGCAAGCGCTCTACCACTTGAACCATAGCACCACTTCTGCTTTGCTACTGGGTAACTGGGGATAAGAGTCTCACGGACTTTCCTGCATTGGCTGGCTTTGAACTGCGATCCTCAGATCTTAGCCTCCTGAGTAGCTAGAATTAGAGGCATGAGCCACTGGCGCCTGGCCTTTTTCTTTGTTTTTGAGACAAAGCAAGAGCAGAAATGGGAATACATGTCTACTGGTAAAGGTTTGGATGTACAGCTCCCAAATCTCCCTCTATAACCCAAACCCCATGGACAGAGGCTGGATGAGGGCTCTGGGTGCTGGTGAGGCAAAGCAGAGAATGTAGGCTTGGTATCCATTGGCTTCTGAAGACATGCTTCAAGCTACCTCACCTACTCCCTTCCATTACTCCCTACATGTTGACAAGTGTCAGCTCTCAGCCAGGTAGACACTCTGCTCCACACCCGTTTACTTAATGGTATACTGGACCCTGTCATTCAGATTGCCTCCAGGCACTTCAGATTCATGCTGGTCCCCACACCTCACCATCCCTACCTCTTCACTCTCTGCTAGTTGCTTTCACCCTCCACCTAGTGACCCAGCCTTGCCATCCAGGGAGCAGCCTTAACACCCCATTTTCCTCATTGTTACCCTCAGTCAGTTATCAATGGTGCAGCCTTATCACCCCTCTCTAGGCCTCCTCATGGACCTCGGACCTCATGCTGCCCTGTACCTCCCTAGCCTCACCCTCCTACAACTTATCTGTCCTGACACACTCCTGTATAGCAACTCTCAGCAGTCCTGGGGACCCTGTGCCCAGGGGAAGGTGCCTTCTCCCAGGAGAGGAGTTAACTTCCCTTGTCACGACGGCCACCGTGCTTCATGTTCCCTTTCCTCTACTGGAAAGCCACCTCCAGCATATCCATTTGGCAAACAGTATCTTAGCCCTCCAATGCAGCTCCAATGTCACCTGCAAGGAACACCCTTCCTGACACCACGACCTATCCTCACCCTAGAGGAAAAAAAGAACCAATCACCTTCTTTGCAGCCCTTTTCCATACTCCTGATTGTGTGAACACTGAGCAAGGTATGAAGAATGACGAGACAGGGGACAGAGCTGTGTACACAGTGTCATTGGATTGGGCCCCTGGAGGGCCTAGGGCCAAGGAGCTAAGGATGCATGGAGTATTCTTTTCTTTGTGTTGGTATTAGAGCTTGAAGTGAAGGTCTGGCCACTGTCCTTGAGCTTTGTGTTCAAGGCTAGTGCACTACCACTTTAACCACAACTCCAATTCTGACTTGGTGCTGGTTAATTGGATTTCCCTTCTTAGGGTAGATCTGAAGTTGGATCCTCAAGTCTGAGCCTTCCGATTCGCTTAGGATTGCAGGTATCGCCACCGACACCCAGCGAGTACATTCGTAAATAACAAAATGTTTGTAACAGGTGAACCCGGCCCTGAAATGCCCTTCTACCTGACTACTTATGCAAGAAGACCCCCAGGAGGACACACTTTCACTTCCACCATGTCCTGTCTTGTGGGCCAGGGAAGTGTTTCTATGGTAGGTGTGCAGCTCTCCACACTGATCTGCAGAAGTAGCTAATTCTTTTCTTTACTCCTAAAAGTCACAGCAATGGAGGCACAGCGGGTGGAAGAGTCTGTTCTATGTGCATGGCTGTGTGGAAAAAGGAGACACTTGAAAATCTCCCACCCACACCAGTCACATCATGTTTTCTCTCCTCCCCCTGCACACACACCAACATGCCAATCAATCTCCTGTCACTTCTACTCCCACCTGCTCAGAGCACGCTTGAGTCCTCTCACTGTGACCTTCTTCCACTGCCTTATCATGGTATTATCTTCACTTCCAATCATCCCTGTCCCTTATAGTTTGTCATTAGTGATGTCTGTCACATTTGCACAGTACCACTATGCACACAAAATCAGCCTACGCCCTACCTGCCATGCACATGAACTCTGGGAGGCACGGGGGATTCGTGTGTGTACACCTGTGCTCACACAGCTCCACCTATTACAACCCCAGCCTTGCATCTCAAGCCATAAGCAGCCAGCCTAGCAGTAGCTGTTAGGATCCTGCTCACAAGGCAGCAGCACAAGCACCGGGTTTTATAATATGTCAAGACGCTGGCATGGGAGTGGAGGAAGCAAGTTCTACCTGGGTTGTGGCCCCTGACAGAACCCCTCAGCTCCAGCTGGCAGATGCCCAGGGCAGCTAGAACCTCACCTGCTGCTGCAGCTCTGCACTTCAACGCACTGCTCCGAACTGCTGAGGCTGCTCTGGGGCTCCAAGGCACTGGGATCTTCCGATTGCTCAGCGGGTGCAGCTGTGTCTTCCCTGACAGCTCCTGGGGCTCCAGATCTCTCTGGCGAGGCCTCACTGATCTTGGGGTCCACAATCTTCATCTCATAACTGGCGGAGATCCTGAGAGAGAAGCACATGATTGGTGGAAGTAGCCCTTGCTCCCCTGGCCACACTCACCATCAGCTCCTGCAGGCACAGAGGGGCTCATGTGTTTGAGGATGCAGCAGGGGGGAGCCAGGCACACTGCTCCTCATTTATCACGGAAAAAGCTAGCCTCTGTGGATAATAAACAAAGGCACTTGAATCCAGCAGGGAGTGTCTTCTTCCCCAGCTGTCTTGGGCTGGAAACTCTTTGGGGTTCTTCCTGGCCTTACATCACACCTGTGCTGAATTCTCAAGACAAGCAGCAGGGAAAGAAAGAGGAAATGCTGGTCATTCATCTTCCACTTGTGTAGCCCTCACATCACCATTCCTGTTCCTGATCCTAGGAACTCCTAGGCCAAGGGCACCTGAGCCCACCATCCCAGCACTCAGATTTAACTGAACCTAAAGCAACTTGGTAGCACTATTGGGTTGCCTCCAGTAGCTGGTGGTGGGTGACCCCAAGACAAAACCATCAACTACCACCATCCCTGGCACTCTTATTTATTTAAGGAAGTTAAGTTCATACTAAATAGGTTTCCTGTTTTCATGCTGGACTAACACGGAAGGTGATGGTCATGCTTTTCAGGGACTTCTATGTCCAAAAATGATGTCATTTTTTGGCCTCACTGAAGAGAAACTAAAACTCCCTGGCAGGGATAATAAACCAAGTGACACTTGCAGCTTCACAGTGCTTTGTAGAAGTGTGGTGATAGAAGCTGTCCTCAAAATTAGGGACCAGAACCAAGTTTCTTCAAAAGAGAAATTTGGAAGCTGGGCACCTACCTGTGGCTCATGCTTGCACTCCTAGCTACTCAGGAGGCTGAGGTCTGAGGATCCTGGTTCAAAGCCAGCCTGAGCAGGAATGTTTGTAAGGTTCTTATCTCCAAGACACTATCCACCCCCCCCCCGCCTCCAAAAGCCAGAAATAGAGGTCTGGCTCAAGTGGTAGAACACTAGCCTTGAGCAAAAGCTCAGAGAAGGTTCCTAGGCCATGGATTCAAGCCTCAGGATTGGCACATACACACCCGTCCCCAAAGAAAATCCCAAACGTACAGAAAAAGAGCAATCTTGGGTTCAGTGCAACACAAGGAGAAATGGATGAATAACAACTCTTTATCCTAGGCCTTGGAGGAGCGCTACTTTGATTTTAAGAGATGGAATCCATCGGGGTCAAGAATAGGAAATATTAATCAAACACAAGCAGCATTGTTGAGAAATATAATATGGGGAGGGGGAGGAGAACAATCTTATTTCTTTGTTAATTTGTCTGGGGTCTGTGAACTGCCTAGAAGTTAAGTGGTTACTGATAGGTAATAATGAGGGTGGCTATGAATCAGGTTTATATTTGGAGTTCTTTGGATTTTCGGAAGCCATTTGTGTGGGTGTAGGAATTAGTCTGAATTAAAGATCCAGGAGGGTAATGTGCCCATTGCTAATTCTGGACATAAGCACAGTCTCCACAGGACATTGTCCCTTTCTACTGTGGCACTATCTGGACTAGATTCCTCTAGTGCTGGTAAGAGTTCTCAGTGAGTGAAAGAAACTAGAATTCACCTGCTTCTCATGTAAAACCCACACCTGCTGCATAACAAGGAGAAAAATAGCACGTTTTACATGCAAAGTCTGATACAACACTTCAACAGGAAGGAAATGTGTTATCAAATGAATTCAGAGCAATAAATTTAGTTAAGGGAAGCAGAGACAAGCTTCTTAAGGGCCCTTGTTTGGCTGACTAAGGGAATCATTCTTCTAGAGGTGTTTCATTTTACTTGAAGCCTTTGTAAAACCAGCATTTGACATAATCCTTTGTGCTTAGAAATGTCCTAATGCAGCCTCATGAAGTCCTCACAAGTCTATATGACAGAATATATTATGACCAGTAGTATCCATATAAGGAAATGGAGGGATACAGGTAACAAATAATACCTCCAAGGCCACACAAGTAGTCAATGATGTAGACTTTGGTTTTGAACTCAAGCATCGGAGTGTAGTGCCACCAGTGTACTGTATCATCTCTTCCTATCCATGTAACGGAGCAGAACAAAGTTAGTATAGTGCAGAATATCTACAGATTCAGTTGGAATAGCTTTATAACCTAGGCAAAATTCAAGCATTCTGTAACCTCCCACCCCTGCTGTCGCCTGCCCAGCCTGCTCCCCCATCAAACTTCTAAGTCCCTTATCATTGAGCTGCAGGGCACAGGCCAGTTCCCCACCCCCTGCCCCTCATTCGGGCTTTGCCCAGAGTCCTCTGGGGACAAGGCCCCACTGCGATCTCTTCCTCTCCTCTTCTGCTGACTCTTCCCCCTCCCTGCGCACATCGCATCGTGCTGTCCCTGGGGACGGCTCCTCTGGGCCCTGGGGGCGGGGCGGCGGAGCCCAGCAGTGTGGGGGAGGGGCCACGGAGCGGCCAACACCATTTGTGATCCTCGCCTGCCACCTACCGGCCGACGCGGGTACGACCTCTGGAGGAGCCCCATTATGCCGGATCGCGACCGAGCAGCCATTTTGACTTCCCGACCAGCGCCTTTTCCCAAAGACGTCGCAGCCCAAGCTCTCGGCTGCAGGAAATGGCGGCCTGCGCAGGCGCACTCACAAGTGGCTCCGCGCAAGCCGCCAGGAAATCTCGCCAAAGCGGTGGACCACGCCTTCTGCCTGTCCTGCGTAATATGACGTCTCTGTCAGGTTCGGCTACCCTCAGGTCCACGCCTTTTCTTGTTTACAGCCTGACTGTTCACAAGCAGATCGTGAATGTGAAAGAGCAGGAATTGGCAACCTCAGCATTATTACTGTTTTTTCTTGTTATATCCGTTGTGTGTGTTGGGAGATGAGGTGCTGTCATGTGTAGTGAATGATATTCATGTAGACTGGCATGTCTAGTCTCTAACTTTCAAGAGAGAGTATCTCCAGCCCTCGGTTGTGGAAATTAGATGCCTTATTTACTAGATCACTCTTGGAGTGAAGAAGAGGGGAGATTAGCTCAGGAAGATATTCACCACCTAGCTAGGAAAAGAGAAGAGACTGAGAGCTGTAAAAAGAAAAAACAAAATGGAGCAATGGCTCAAATGGTTGAGTACCAGCCTTAATCAGAAAAGGCAAGGGAAAGCATAAGTCTAGAGTTCAAGACCCAGTGCTAGTACAAGGCAAACACACACACACACACACACACACACACACACACACACACACACGGTTTAACTATTAGCGAGGATCTGGTGGCTCACAATTGTAAACAGGAGGCTGACATCTGAGGATCTAGTTTAAACCCACCTTGGGCAGGAAAATCTGTGAGATTCTTATCTCTAATTAAACAACAAAAAGCTGTAGTAAGTACAGCTGTTGCTCAAGTGGTAGGGTGCTAGTATTGATCTAAAAATAAACTAAATCAAGCAAGCAAGCTCAGAGACAGCATACAGATGAGGAGTTCAAGCCTCGGGACCAGCACAAAAAGAAACAGATGCCAATTTCAAAAGTACTTGCCTCAAATGTTGAACATTTTGCAAAATTAGTGCACATTTTCTGAATAACAAAGCTAGCTGAGATCTTTTTGTCCCTTCCTTTTCCTTACCTGAATCACCTCTACTCTGAATGCATATAAGTTTTCAGTCACCATCACCTTTCTATCTCAGACATACCCTTAACTCTTTATTCTAACTAGGCATAAACCTGGACAGACTAGGGGCCGCTCGACGGGATACTGTGAACACAACAGGTGCCCCAAAGTGAACTTGCTCTTGTGGTCATTAACAATATTGTGCACAAAAAGCCAGTGAGCTCTACTTACTTTGAAAAGCCATCTCTCCCATCATTTCCTTCCCCCAAAGACCCACATCACATCTCTGCACACACACAGCTATACACAGAGGAAACACTGGGTTCTTTTGAGCTTCCTAGATCCTCTTCTCACTGTTTGTAGGACTCCTATTCATAGGAATCTAATGAAGAGAAAAACCTCAAAAACAACCTCTCTGTTAAACCATACCAAAGACTCCTTCCCTGCTATAGTACTGATGTGTTGCTCAAATGTGGTCCACAACTTATCCAACCTCCCCCCTTATTCCACATAGACTGCATGAGGACTCCTTGCAAACAAAGCCATACTTGATTTGTCTTGTTCCAGCCTGGACCAAACTGAAAGAGGGTGATACTTCCTGATTTGGGAGCACTAACCAGCTGGAAGCAATAGGATTTCACAGAAAGCTTCCTGGCCTCCGAGGCGTTTGTTGCGAGGTTCCCCCTGGGGCTTCCTTCTTTGCCCTGTTCCTGAGGCCAGCTCTCCTGCCTGACCTTCCTAGACAAAGGCTACTGCATACCCATGCTTTCTCGCTCCATTCCAGATTCTCAGCACTGCCTGTTGACGCCTTCCTTACCCCTTGGAGTTTGCCTTGGTAGCCTCCAGGTCTGCTACACTGCCATCCTTGCTATCAGCCAGGGCAACAGAGGCTGAAGTGGAACTGGAGCTGAGGGAAGAAAACAGAGAGGACCGCTGAGGTCTGCCACCGAGGTTGGCTGGGGCCCAACTTTTCCTCTTTGCCTGCCGCCTTCTCACAGGCAAACGGAACGGTGCCTGTCAGGGGTGGATGGCTTTTCAGTTGTACCACTGCTACCATCTGTCCTTTCCAGCCACATGTTCCCTTGGACTCAGCTCTCTCTGCTGAGTCTGACCTTGGGATTTCTCTCCCTCCCTCCTACCTGGTGAGCCACAGTACAGTCCCTTGGGGACAGGCTCACTGACAGTGCTCAGGACAATGTGTTCTCTTGGGTGGCCTCCCAGTGTCCTCCCTTCCGCTTCTGGTTCCCTACCACCTCACGGTGAGTTCATGGAGGTTGATGCTGAAAGGTCCTGGGACCAATAGACTTATCACCTGTCCCACTGTTCCTATTGCCCCCAGTAGCTCTAGATCAGGCCCCTGCCCTGCTGTGAGTATCTGACATTTGAAGGAGCTGAGAACTGTGGGCACTGGAGCTTGGAATGAGTTCTGAGGGCTGGGTCTGGCAATGGGATTGGTCCCTGGGGAAGTTGCCACACTCTTACTTGATGGCTGCTGGTCCAGGCTCACAGGAGTGACAGCTGGCACCATGTACATCCTGATCACCCAACAAAGGGGTGGAGCTAGCACCTGAGCCCCACCTGTTGGAGGAGGCCAAGCTGGTCCAAGTTCAGGACTTTTTGTCCTGAAAAAGTGGCTTTCTGTCCCCAAAGATGAGGAACTGCTCAAAGGACACGTGGGACAGTGTTGCCTACTGGTTAAGTGCAGCAACCTAGAAACACATGGTCTGGATTCCAATTACTGCTAGTCTCTCCTAGCTGTGTGACCTTGGGCACACTGCCTGACCTCTTTGGTCCACTGCTCTATTATCAGTAAACTAGGAAAAAGCATCAGATCTGTCTTGAAAGTATTCTAACAGAAACAAATGAACTCATGACCAAGTATTGCAAATACTGCCTCAACCATAGCACATGCTAATATGCTCCCTGCTCTTACTGGATCTTGTGGTCATTTGTAGGCACAGGGACCTTTTCACGGTCCATCTGTATTTACCCAGATTTCCTGGGCCTCTATTACCCAGGATCCCTGCTGTGAAGCCACATCCTCTGTCTCTGTAAACTACGCATACTGATGTTCACAGGGTACCGTGTCGCCTGCACACATCTGTGCCCTCCACTTGAGTAACATTTACTAAGACTCCCTCATGTTTGTCCCCAAGCCTATTCATACCAGTTGTGTAACTATAATGATTACACACAATGATTGAACAAATGTATGAAAATGAATGGAAGAGGAAGTTGTTCCATAGGAGTAGAAAGCAAAGATTTCCTTTGGTGAGGGTGCATGATCAAGAAAGATGGCCCAGATAAATATTCAAAACCAGAGCACCCAGAACCAGAGCCAATCATATTGGACCAAAAGTTGGCAGTAGCCAATAATAAACTGAGGCAGTCTGCACTGCCATGGGAGAAGGCAGGGGAATAGCTCCCCTCCCTCCCATAGTCTTCAGTGCTCAGAAAGAAAATGGCACTGATTTATCCACCATTCATATATCCATCCATTTCTTTGTCCCTTTTGTATTCCCCATACATTCTATCTGCCCAAGGCAAGGCCCAGCTAAGGGACAGACCTTCGTCTAGTAGCTAGGCCTTGTACATGCTCTGCGGGAGCTTAAGGGCCAAATGACAGTGCTGGGGGAAGAAGAAGCAAGATTGGAACACAAGTAATTCCAAGAGAAGTGGGAAGCCCAAGACAAAGGAGATGGTTGGGGGCAGGGCATGGGAGAAGCAGCACACAGCAATCCCAACAACTTAGCAGAGGCACCCCCTCATCCCCCCAGCAGCCTTAGCAGTTTGGAAGCTTGAGCCTGGCCTACCACCAGAGATTTGAGAGTACCTGTGTGTCACAAACACCTTACCCTTTTGTCTCAGAGCCATTGTCTTCTCCAATGGAGACTTCTGGTGTAGACCCTATGGCTCCAGATTCCTCGGTGCCATCACTCAATTGCATAGCTGATCTGTTTAAGGAGAAAAGCATTTGACTGCGATTGCTCTTTGACCTTACCTAACTTACAAGTCTTGAGGGCAGGTCTCAAGGACCGGAAGTGCAGGCCCTTGCTTGCCTCCTCCCTACATAGCTCTGACAAGAGTTTAGCCAACACCAAGTGGAGTCTAACAAGTATTTCTGTGTTTCTTTCAGACTTGATTGATAAGGAACAGAGGCAAGAACCAGAGCAAGGAGGAAACTTGGAGAGGAGGACATGTTGGGGGCCAACAGGGCAAGAGAGCATGGGGCAAGGCATTAGGCCATCGAAGGCAGAGATAAGGTTCTTCCATCTATCTGGGGCTCTATTTCCCAAACACCAGAGCCCTGACTGGGACTCCAGGGTGCCACACTGAGAAGACTGGAGAGTGGGTTCAAATTCTCATGGAGGAAATGGGGATGTGCAGTCCTTGCTCACCACATCATTCTTCCCTACGCAACCCAGAGGTTTGCAGGGTGATTGTGGCATGAGCAGGCACACCCATCCCCTCTGGGCTTATCCCTCTTCATCATGGCTCTGATTCCTCATCCTTCACCTTCTGCCCCCAAATGCTTCCCTTTCTCCACAGGCAAGTCTCTGCTAGATGTTCTATAAACATCCATACTTTCTTTGGTCATTGAATTCCTCTGAGTGTCAACCTGGGAAAGACGATTTGTTCTAGAGTAATTGCATAGAAAGTGAGGCAGCTTTTGGTGAGTGGAAGGAACCCATTGAGGGCCAAGAACTCGGTTCACTGGGTGTTCTTAGCAGAAAGCTGCCCTTCCCAGGCCCCCCTCCCTCCCTTCCTTTCTTTCCTCACTCCTTCCTTTCCTCTCTCCCTCTTTCTTTCTCCCTGTCTCTCTCTCTCTCTTTCCTTCTTGCTGGTTTATCTCTCTCTCTCTCTCACTGTGTGTGTGTGTGTGTGTGTGTGTGTGTGTGTGTGTGTGTGTGTGTGTATACCCATACTGAAGCTTGAATTCAGGACCGAGGTGCTATTCCTTAGCTTTTGCTCTAAAGGAAGGTGTTTTACTATTTGAGCCATAGCTCCACTTCAGCTTTTCACTGCTGCTTAACTCGAGATCAAAGTCTTTATGGACCTTGGGGAGGTGCAGGAGGGAAGGGATAGTAGGAGGAAATCAAAGGACAGGGTAACAATGTTCAACAAGACAAGACATGTACTCGCTACCTTACTCATGTAACTGTAACCTCTCTGTACAACATCTTTACAATAAAATAAAATTTAAAAAAGAGTCTCACAGACATTCAAAAAGCTGGATCCTCAGATCTCCTTCCCCTGAGTAGCTATGATTGTAGGTGTGCGCCACCAGTATGCAGCCCAAGCTGGCTCTGAATTTGTAATCTTCCTACCTCTGTCTTCTAAATGTTGGAATTACAGGCATGTACCACAACATCCAGCCCCATTAATTCTTATAACAAATATTCACTAAATACCTATACAATTGCACAGGGCACACCGGGAATAGTACTGGTCCCAGTTTCAGCTGCTGATCTTAGACCAAGAGCTATAGAGGCCTTCTGCTGGGTGCACATGGTCTTTGTGTTCTTGGGTTAGTCTGTTCCCTGGAGTGCATTACCTTTTAGAGTCCGTGTTGGGGCTCTTGAAGGTTTCCTCACCAGCCGAATTTCTCTTGAGTCCTACAGAGCAAGGTGCCTCCTTGTCTTTGTGGCCTGGGGAAGACCTATGGAGGAAAGACATGTGAGTTAACCACTCAGGAGCCACCTACACGCCAGGGGAGCCAGTTACGTCATCCTCAAATGCCAGTCGTGGAAAAGGAACTTAGTATCTCCTATTGATTAACTAACTGTCCACAAAACCTCATTGCTAATAATATTGACTGGGGAGCACACCCTGTCCTTATGACTTTCTATGCAACCCCAGGACATGGGCAGTGTTGTTATATTCTTATATTCCCATTTTCCAGGTAAGCCACCGTATGTCTGGAAGGCCCGAGTGGCGTGCCCCAAGTTCTACAGATAAGAGGAAGAGGTGGGATTTGAACCCAGCTTGAGTTCAGAGTTCTGGATGATGCTGCCTGCCAGGTAAGCTAATCTAAATCTCAAGCCTCAACCTTTGTGCTATTGTCTTTGAGGCTGCGAGGAAGTCAGCCATCACCGTCATCTCAGGACGCCATCAGTCCTAGCTGATCGTGGCTACTCCCTCGTCCTTGCCACCACTCCTCCCTTCTGTCCCTTAAATGTCTGGGTTCCCCGAGTTCCTCCCTGTCCACACACTTGGCCACCTGCTGGGCTACCTACATCTGTTCTCTTCCCATGGCATCTACTGTCTCCCTTGAGCTAATGACTTCCCAATAGTTACCCACGTAGATTCATGGGAGGCCATCTGAGGATGAGACAGTAGAATGCAATGGCAGATAGCTAAGGTGGAAGCAGTCAGAACCCCAGGGGGGACAGTGGAACTTGAAGCAACACAGAATAAAATGGAAAGCAGTGTGTTGCAGGAAGCAGGATCCAAGGAGCAGTATAAAGGGACCTAGTGATGACTTTTTGATTCATTTTCCAAGCTACTTCTTCCAGGAAGCCTTCCCTAAGTTGTCAGTGTTGCAGGGATTAAGGGATCACCTTTGATGTATGATCCTGCTTCCCTCCCTACACTCTGGGCTTTACAAGTGGCTCATCCAGCTTCTCTTGGGCTCAGCTCACGGCTCCCAAAGCTGCCTGCCTGTCACCTGCCTGTACGGTCCTCTGCTTCCCTCAGAAAGAGCTGGGCCCTTTGTACTCCAGGTTACTTGTGGCCCTGGGCTGGAGGTGGGGGGGGGGCCTTGAGGACAGACAAAGGCAGGCTAATTCAGGAATCTTACCCAGTTACCAGTGCTCCCCCCTGCCCACCACAGGCAAAGCAATTACCACAGCGGCTACAAGAGGCTACATGAACCCAGTGTCCCCATGCAGCCCAGCCAAACTGTCACTTCCTGTGGGCTGGGGCACACAGTGTGGTTAGCATTGGCCATGACTGCATTGACTCCATCATCAGACATAGAAGCGGTCACTCTGACTCAGAGGGTCCCTACCATCCCTGGATCCCGCTGTGGCGACTGACTGCAGCCTCACAAGGCCCAAGTGCACATTTCATACTCAGTGTTCAGTGAAAGAATTAATTGGGGATAGAAAACCCAGGATTACTGGCACCTACTAATCTTTCAGCTCCCACAGTGGCAAAAACAGGTGGCAGGCCTCGTCATTTGCATCCTGTCTCCCTAGAATGGTATACAGGAGCCAGGTGCCAGAGACTCACATCTGTTATCCTAGCTACTCAGGCTGAGATCCGAGGATCACAGTTCCAAGCCAGACTGAACAGAAAAGTCCATGACTCTCTTAGCTCCAATTATCCACCCATAAGCCCAAAGTAGAGGTGTGGCGGTGTGGCGCAAGTGATAGAGAGGCAGCTTTGAGCCTGAAAGCCAAGTAAGAGCTGGAGGGCCTGAGATCAAGCCCCCTTACCAACATGCAAAAAAAGAAAAACAGAAAAGAAAAAGAAAAAGGATAGTATAGAACGAAACAGGGTCACATCAGAGTTCTCCATACCTCATGCTTTCCAGTTCCGGGGCCACCACGCGGAGTCCTGCCCTGGGTGTTGTGATTTGCAGGCGGACAATCTCCTCACCTCTCAAGCTGCAGGCCAAAGGAAACACTGGAGGGTTGATGATGGGAAAATCCTCCAACTTCCCCATCTGTGTAGCATCCAGGGACCTTTTCCCTCAGGCATCTCCTGACTAGTAAGCAGGACATTCATGCCCACCAAGCTCCTCCTTTGGTTTGGCTTTCATCTGCTCTTTAACCTTGAACCTTCTGAGTACTGCAGCTGATCTGAGGCCCCTTACCTTCAGGCCCCTGAGGAAGGAGTAGAAAGGCGGACACACTGCACCTTGAACTCTCTCAGGCACAGCAACAAGGCCTTCTGGGTAGAAATGAGACCATATCTGTGTGGCAACGAGAAGCCACAGGATTGGCTTGAAGTAGGGTGGGAACTGATGTGATCATATTCTCCTTACAAAGACAGAAGGCAACTTTAGATGAAGAGGGACATTTGTATAGAGGCACATGAGAGAGAAGGTGGCCACATGAAGTCATAGGCAAAGACTCACAGAAGTAAAAAGTTGCAAGCCAAGGAATGGTATGGACAGTGAGCAACAAAAGCTAAGAGAAAGGCCTGGGGCAGATTCTCCCCTAAAATCTGCAGAAGCAGCATGATTCTGCCAACTTTGATAAGACTTCTGGCCTCTCACATTGAACGAAACTACATTTCTATGGTTTCAAGCCACCCACTTTCTGGCATTTTGTTAGAGTCTCAGCAGATGAATACAGAGGCCATCTTGTCTCTCCTTATCTGTTGCCCCAGACAAGCCTTGCCACCTTCCCAAACCATAATCTGTAGAGAGCTCTAGTGCTATATGAAGTTTTCATTTGAGCAAGAGCAGTCTGGAAGATTGCATACCGTTGGATAGCAGGCATTTCCTGAATCCCCAAAGTGATCACTGAACACCCACTATGTCCCTGTACACCTGTGGGAATGGAAGTGACAGTGACCTGTGCCATAGAGCACATTATCCCATCCTGACAGCCATCCTGAGAGAGAAGAGGTGGCGGGGGTGGAGGTAGGGAAGGGAATTCCTTCTCAATGCACTTAGTTGCGATTCTCGTAGTTACCAGTAGGGGGCAATACTAGGCTCTTTCTGCAAGTTCTGCAAATTAGCAAACCTATTATCAATACCACTGCCCAGTAGGCTAAATATTGAAATGCGATATCCTACTTACTTGAGACAATCTTGAGTAAAAATTGATGCTTTTTGTATGCCGTATATGAAAAAAAATCAAAGTAGTGAAAGGTAAAGGGACTTGCTCAAGGTCACTCAGCCAACAGGAGGCAAATCCAGGGTTATATTTTGTGCCAGAAGCCATGCTCTTACTCACTGTTCCCTAAATACTGTCAGGTTGCATCATGGGATCAATACCATAGGACCAGAACCCAGAAGGCTGAGGCCCTGCACTGATTTCAGGAGGCAGAGAGCTCATAAAGCATGACCAACACAGCGATGGACAAGCAGCTCAATTCACAGGGCGCACTGGAGTCATGAGAAGGTAACCTTTGGACTGACATGTTAGAGTCAGGATGAGGGAGGGTCAGGATGAGGGAGGACACTGCCATGATATAACATATAGCCCTCACATCCACCTGCTTTGTTAGGACCCAGAGTTTGGTTGAGTCAACCCCTCTGGTTGGGCTTTTCAGATGGGTAGAGACAGGAACTAAGCATTGGGGGGGAACCACTGGTGACTGCCCAGCCCAGTGCAGCATCTGATTGATGGAGTCAGAGAACAAGACTCTCCAGAAGCTCAAGACTGGCCAGCAGCTCAACGGAAGTAGCTGTGGGTTGCGTATTTAGTTTTGGCTGCAGAACTTGAGGGGGAAAGTGTCGAAGGCATCAAGGTGAGCCTACTATTAAGACTTTGGACCCATCTCCAGCTTTTCGAACTAGTCACACTCTGACATGGGAAAATTCCTCTGTCTGCTCTGTTAGAGAGCTGTGGAATGTAGAATGTTCCATAATCTGGCTTGAGCTCCATTTCCTAAGGCCACTCAGGCAAGACAATTTTGCCTCTCAAATCTGTCATATAGTACTACTCAAACGTCCACCTGTACTCTCTATTAAAGGCATCTTAAAATTATTCCTTTTTTTTCAAAAGATGAAGAGAAATTAAAATGTATAGTGTTGTGGGATGGCTCTTGTCAGATGTGTATGATATTTGGAGACAGGGCTCTGAGAGTACTGTAAGGTCACTAAAGTGCTCCCTCTCCACTATAGCTAGCATTCTCCGAAGAAGAGATGAAGCTGTAGGCATATATATGGGGAAAATTATTCAAGAACACAAAGAAAAAGTGACCATCTACCTGGCAAGGAGACTGGCCTCAGGAGGAATCAAGTCTTAATACACCTTGGTCTTGGATTACAGTCTCCAGAACCATGAGGAAGTTTCTGTAGCTGAAGCTGTCCAGTCTGTGGTTCCTGTCTATGGCTGCTGACCTAACCCTGTCAACCACTAAGGCTCCTACATACTGTTTGACAAGGAGCTCTGCAACTCTCTTTTCCAAGCTGTAAGGTTCCTTACGGCTAGGTGCTGGTGGCTTACACCTGTAATCCTAGCTGCTTAGGAGGCTGAGATCTGAGGTTTCTAGTTCAAAGCCATCCTGGGTAGGCAAGTCTGCAAGACTCTTATCTCCAATTAACTACCAAAAAGCCAGAAGTGGAGCTAAGGCTCAAAGTTGTAGAACAGGAGCCTGGAGCACAAAAGCTCAGGGACAGGGTCCAGGCTCTGTGTTCAAGCCCTAGGACTGGCACAAACAAAGATCCCTTATGGATGGGAGCGCTGATGGGAGGAGTAGGGCACACAGTGAAGGGTCACATGTCTAAAAGTGGTGGAAGCTCAAGTTGGACGGTGTCAAATGGCTCCAGGAGAGCTAGAATAGACAGTTGTGGTCCAGGAAGTGACTCATAGGGATACACTCTCCTTTTCTAGCCTCAGGTGTTTCTCAGGGTGCCACAGAGGTGCAGAACTGGGCTTGGACAAAGCTCTCAATCTAGGCAGATGCTTTCAACTGCAGCAAGCAGGCAGTGGCACTCCCTGGAGGACTTAGCACTATTCAGTGCAAAGTACAAGGAGGTATTGATGCTCTTCATCTGAAGACAAGAGAGCACCATTATCTACCTGGATACTCAGGGCTTAGAAATCAGGACAAATCACGGCCCCGCCTGGAGTGAGATAAGCAGGGCTCAGCCTGCCCCATGCCCTGTCACCACTCTGCCAGACCTTCTCTCCTTGGCAGGCCTAGCCAACTAGGCAGGTGGGAAACACCTGACTAACACACAGGGTAGAGCCAGCTTGTGGCTGAGTCCAGCTCCTGGACTCCTGACTTCCAACGGGTGGGGCTAGGCACACTCCTCTGCACTGGCAAAGAGGGCAGCCGTGAACAGTGCTAGGGACTGCAGAGCTTCTTTCTCGGGCAGGCTGAGATTGGCCACTTTATAGCAGCACCACGAGCAAGCTGAACAAGAACACGCTATGGCAGCCGTGGCTAGCCATCTGAAGCCCTCCAGTTGGTACATTTTCTTGGGATGCTTTGCCACTGTGAGGCTCAGCCGTGCAAGGGTTAAGGTGACACAGATAAGTACTAAACAGACAAGAACCATGCGCTCCCTCCCTGGAGGCAGGCTGTTTTGCTCTTTTCAGCCCTGGGACATCCATTCAAATGAGCTCTTACTGATTTGTGCTCCCTGTCATTCTGCCACTGGCCGCATGGGGACAGTGAACCCAGGCCCAGCAAAGGCTTTCTAGCATCTGAGTGGCAGAGATGACTGATTCATTACCTGCTCAAGCCAGAAGTGGGTCTTGCCAGAGTAGGTGGCTGCCGGCTCCCCTCAGAAGTGCCGTCCTCATCTACCACTTCAACCCTGCAGGCAAGAGGAAAAGTGGCACTTGTGGTCATCTTGGTTGCTCCAGAGCCTACTGGCTCCAGTGCTTTCAGTGATGCCCAAATGAGGTGATCATGAAGTGGCCCAGGCTGGGAAACACAGGTCCTGCAGCTCATGGTAAGGATGGCGTTGGTAGCTGAATAGTACCTTGACAAAATTCACATTCCTTACTTAGCTACCAGTAGTGCGCTCCTGGAATCCTAGCTACTCAGGAAGTAGAGATCTGAGGATTGCAGTTCGAAGGTGGTCCAGGCAAGAAAGTTCATGAGACATTTATCCCCAATTAACCAGCAAAAACTTGGAAATGGAGCTGTGGCTCAAGGGATAAAGTACTAGCTTTTAGAGGAAAAAAAACTAAGGGACAGCCTCTAGGCTCTGAGTTCAAGCCTCAGTACTGGCACATACACAATCCATGTTCCTTGGGATTCCAATCACATCTGGAAATAGGGTCTTTGGGGATGTAATCAAGGTAAAATGAGGTCACATTGGATTAGAATGGCTCCCAAATCTAATGACAGATTTCCTTCTAAGACAAGGCAGATCTGGACAGACACAGACACACAAAGAAAAGACAGCCATGTGAACACAGTGGCAGAGATTGGAACAAGTGAGGTACAGGCCAAGGCACACCAAGGATTGCTAGCCATCACCAGAAGCTTTCTCCCTTGGTGAAGCTGGAAGAGATCAACCCTACCAACACCTTGACTTAAGACTTCTAGCCTCTATAGCTGGGAGCTAGTCTATTCTGATGTTTTAAACCACCCAATTTGTGATACTTTCTGACAGCAGCCACAATAACCAAATACAGTTAGTGACACAGTGAGACTATTCTCTATCACTTACTTTGTGTTGTCACTACCCCATGCATGTGATATTCTAATCAGCCTTTCTGGTCATTCAACACAGCAAGCTATTCCCACCTCTGGGCCTCTGGGCCTCAGCCTAGAACACCTAGCATGCTGATCCTCCTTGAACTTCAGTTCTCAGCTTGTTATACAACCTTCCCTCGAAGGCCTTCCTTGTCCATCTAACCAAAGGTCCCTAAGAGACTCAAGTTTATAGAAGTTTCTTCAGCCTCTCTCCAAAATGTTCCTCACCCAGAGCGGGAACTGTCTCACATAGTCACACCCCTCCTTCACTCTCTTAGAATGTCCTGACATCCTGTTTGCCCTTTAGGACTCATTTCTAATGTCATGGTCACCTCTCAGGGAATGTCTCTTGGTTGCTCTGGTTCCTGAGTAAAAACAGAGTGTATGATAAGAGGCAAGAAGACTTTTGCTGGGGTCAAGGGAGATACTTCCTAATGGATCTTGGACAATGGGTAGAGCAAAGGCATGAAGCTTAGCTAGCCAGAGATGCTCAGTAGCAAGCCTCTGGACCCAACTATGTCTGGAGGTACACAAATGAGGTCAAGAGAACAGCAACACATTGTCAGAGTGCCTGGGAAATGTGGTGGCACCATCTTGAATCATGGACCCAACTTGATTAGCCGCTGGCCTTTTACAAGTAATCCCCCTCCTTCCCTGTCTCCCCACGCTCCTGCTGGCAGGCAACCTTCTACCATGGCCAGCAACAACAGGCTTCCATGGCTTTCCTTGATGACACTTACCTCTTTGCAATAAATGGGGCCTGGATCTCCTGGGTAGGACTTCTGGAAAGGAAGCAGACAGAGCCTATAGACAGTGACCACAGCCTCTTACCCCAAAAATTTCTAGGTGACCCTCCTATACCCAGATCACAGCTTCCCTCATGAGGGGCAGAGAGACTCCCTCCGTTTTCTAGAAAGCACATCCAAGAAGCTGAGAAGGTCCCAGGAGGAGGGCCCTTGGAAATTTTACAACCCAACCTTTCACCAGGCAAGGGGACTGGAGGCCTGCGGAGGAGGGAAGTATTCCAGAGCATGGAGCAGGTGGTGCAAGGCCAGGCTCAGAGCGCACACATGTGGCCTGCTGGGCCTCCTTGCTGTCTCACTTACCCAGTGGTCTTCTTGGCCGCCGACAGGACGTAGGAGTGCTCCCGGGAGGCTGTCTTCCTCACTACACTGCTTGCAGCCTCTGACCTGGAGCAGCATGGGACACGTGGTAAAGTGGACACACTGTGCCAGTGTAGTGTAGATGTCGTGAGAATGAGTCAGGACCACCCCGTGGGGGTGAGGGAGGAAGCCATAATGGCATCGGCTGCAAGGACCATTCCAAAAGAAATGTGGACTGCTTCCAAGCCCACGGTGTGTGCCCAGCCCTGCCCTGGATGCTGACAGCCCCACCTTGGCACGTGGGTGCTATCTATTCTCTGTCATTCACTGGGCCTGAGGGGACTCTATTGACTTGCTTAAGGGCACAAATCTAACAGGTTGCAAAGCAGGCATTCAATACAAGGTAGGTGCTAGCTCCTGCATTATTCACCTGCAGTATTCCGGCTCAAGGTACTGTAGTTCCTTCCCTATGATTGTCATTCTTCTAGGCCTTCAGCAAAGGGCCTTTCCCATGCTCCTGAGCCACCGATGGGTCAGCAGAGCCACAGATGGGTGACCAGATGTCGACCCAAAGCAGAGCCTCAGTTTGTGGGTAAAGTTACATTCAAAATCCCAGAGCGCGTTCCTGCCTCCTGAGTGCAGTGTAGGGCCTGCTAGGACTTTGCACATGGCACAACACACACACACGCATAGAGGGTGCTGTACACAGCCCCTATCCTAGAGATCTTTGTTCAGTTTTCTCAAGACACTTTCTAACAAACATAGAATCTCCTGAAGAACCTACAAATGAAGCTTCCTCCTGAACTTACTGCTGGCCTATGTGTGGTACATTCAGTCGCACCAACTGGGGCAATTCCTGTCAGCAGCCTGGACAGTCAGGCCCTTGTCCTGCCCGTGAGAGGCACTACCCTTACCTCCGTTTTTGCTCATCTGAAGAGAACGGCACCTCTTCCTCTTCAGCTCCTGATGTGGAGCTGCGCCTGATGTTATAGGGTGCCCTGGGAAAAGAGGAGAGGCAGTCATGGCTCTCCTACCGCCTCCCCCCTGCTCCTTGTCACAGCCTGCCACTCTTTGTGGTGTTGCTTCTGGACATCTATATGCTGTTACTGCTGCCCTTGGGCCTTAGCTTGCACCATTTCCTCCTTCCTGAGAGCGGGCACTCTTCCCCATCCCCTTCCCTCTACAACCAGTTCAACTCACCACTTCCCTAGAATGATGGGCCATCTACTCCTCAACACTGGATGATGGGAATGAGGGACCAGCAATATAAAGCCCCTGGGAAGTACAGGCACTACTTATAGCTTTATTTTGATTCTCCTTTCCTAAGTGGGGGCCTCTGCTAAGAATCCCAAGGGGAATCCTGAGGGAGGGGGCATACCAAAGGTTCACATCTTAGAAACAAGTCCGATTGAGACAAAAAAATGTTCATATCTATATGCTGCCAGGGCCAGAAACAGTTCAAGGATCATCAAACTCTCAGGCCAGCCTAGCCCAGATTGAGAGCGTCACACTTAGAGCGATACAGCACGTTGCCCAGTAAACACAGCCCACCAGCAACAGTCACATGCCCATGGCCCATGCTCCTTTCTCCAGATCCCTGCACTCCTAGAAATGTTTTTGTAGTCAAAAAGTGCACTGAAGCCAGGCATGGCAGCGCAGGCTTGTATCCTCACATGCAAAAGGCTGAGACATGAAGATCCAGAGTACAATGCTGCGAGACTTTGCCTCAAATATTAAACAAAAATAAAACCACTATGTATAGCTATCCAGTGTTATGGGACTCTGGTTGGCACTAGATCCCAGCTGCAACTGGCAAGGGTTATCAAGTCCATGAGAGTAGGTTTCCCATCTATTGCTCGGAGCCAAGTGTCTAACCGCTCTCAGTAGGCCCAATTAGTGGGCTCAAAATTTGGGTCTGACCGTGCATACTTACAGCTTCTTGTAATCCTCAGTGGTCATCTTGTAGCCAGAGGAGGAGGGGCGGGGATTACCCGCTCCCATCAGTCCGGTAGCACTGGAGAGGCAAAGAGTTCCCATGTACCCATGCATAGGCCCTCTCTTGTTCCCAGACTCACTCACACAGCCCAACAGTCATGTGAGTGGCAGATGGCTGGGGGGGAGGGGGGGAAAGGAAGGCACTGGTAGCCTTTCCTCATTGCTGTCATCCCTGAAAGATACCTCTTGCCAACAGATTCACTGTGCCTTCCTGTCCTCTAGTCTCCTTGGCCTTTCCTTTCTGATGGAGCCCCAGTTGTGCCTCACACTATGAGCTTGGATAATATGCCCCATCAGCCTTCTGATTGGCTAAAGCCAAGATCCCAGAATATGCAGTGTCAGCTGTCGGGCCAGCGGACCTCTGGCTCAGCTCCTCACAGCTGCATCCTCATGCCTGTGCCCCACACTGCACAGGCTGCTGTGGGAGCCAGTCAGGATATCTTCCCACACACACCGTCACTTGCAGGAGGTACAGCCCTCCCTCTGCCATGAATCTGGACAGGGATCATGCTTTCCTTCCAGCCAATAGGTCAGTACCCCAATAGACATACCTTTTTGGAGCTCCATTAGCCTTAGGAAAGTTCTGCTGGGGCTGAGACGAGCTATCTATGGGCTTGGTGAACACTCCCCTGCAAGAGAGCCCAGATGTTGTTGAGAAGTCAGGGGGTGGCACAAGTGGCATGGGAAGGCAGGCAGGGATCTGCAGGCACTTACCGGATGATATAACCAGAAGAAGCCCTTGTGTTTGGAGGCCTGCTGTGAGAAAATGAGGTAGGAAGTGAAATGAAGCCTCCCTTAGAGGCTCAGATCACCTTTTTTTTTAAATCCTGTCCCCAAGTGCATGAAAGGGTATTATTGGCTTATGGGTGTGCAGTATAGCAGACTGAGGGGAGCCAGACATCCCCATACCCTTAGCCCAGGTGCTCCCTCCATCTGTTGCTCGCAGTCTCTCCCAGGAAGAGCGGCCACAGCTCTTTTGTGGCTAGGCCCAGCATGGCGCTGACTCCTGTGCCTAGGAACGTGTGTTCTATGGCTGCTCATTTACTGCAGAAGTGTCTCTCCCAAAGTCCAGCTTGTTCCTGGTCTGCCTGGTCCTTACGCTTCTGCAGGAGAGCTCTCCTCAGCTCTTCTTACAGACAGCCGTCCTGCTGTCTGCTCTCACAAGTGAGTGAATTCAGGATAAAGGTTCCCCAAAATGTCTAGGTTTGGGCTCAGGGACAGGAGATCAGGGCACCTCCAAGAAACCTTCGTTAGAGCTGGTATGGAGACAAGCACTCGGGGTAGACAGTCCCTCTGTCCACCAATGGAAAGGCTTTGGGCTAGAGCAGTGGGGTCAGGTCAAAGGGTAATGCAGAAGCCCAATATTCTTCATCCCCACACACCCTGTCTTTCACAAGGTCGTCAACCTGCAGCAACACTTACAGTGAGACCCATTTGAGCCAGGTGGCTCATATGAGTGAATGTCTGTCATACATTAAGGAAGCTAGGACTCCGTGCCAGTGCTGCCCATCCTAATTCCCACTTGTCTCCTTAGGATATATCGCTTTACTTAAGTTGAGCCCCTGTCCCTGGAAGGAATGTGGCCCCTAGAGAGAGGATCTAGGTCTCAACGAATACTATACCCTGTGTGCCCAACAAAGGATCTGGCAGTGAGTAGAAATTTTGAGTCATTAAGCAAGGCTGAAGTTACTAGAATCTGCCCTCTGGGCCACACTGCCTCTACCATGACCTGCAACACCCCCCCTTCCCGATGCCACTGCCAGCAGTTTGGAACAAGGACCGAGCATGTCATTCAGGAGAGTGCCTCCCGATGCCAGCAGGATGTGCCCAAACTTCTGATGGAAAAGCCTTAAAATACAGGCCAATTCCATGTGGCCAGCTGTTAGTCTGAACTTAAGGGGACAGTTGGAGCAAACTGGTAAGGCTCCCCCGGCAGGCTAAGTGCTGTGTGTGCTCAGCAGTCAGGACGACAGGCAGGACTGAGTCACCAGTGAATCAAAACCGCCTGAGAACCCTCAGAGATATGATCTTCTTTTCTGCAGGGCAAGTTTAGAATCCCAGCCTTGTTAATAATTTCTATCCCATGGCCACCTGAAGCCATAGCCCAGAAGGCAAGTCAGTGCCATTGCTCCTGCACTGCAAGGCTAGGGAGTGGATCCTTTCCCTAGAGGGAAATGCAGCAGAAAAGCCTCACCTTCCTTATGGATTTCAAAAGACTCAGTGTTGCTTTTCCTGCCCCTGCTTAGTTCAGGCCTTCTATGTGTCCCCTGTGCATGGCCCATTCTCTCTGCTTCCCAAGAGTCCTCGGGGCCCACCTACAGGGTACTACAAAGTTCCAGGGCACCACCTCTTACCTGGCCTTGGAGACCTCCCCAGGTGATGAAAAGGATGTGGCCCGATTCCGACACGTAGGCAGCTCTCTGGTGGGGGAGGGGGGAAGCAGGAGGCCTTGAGAAAGACTGGCCCCCAAGGGCGCCCATCACCTGTCACGCTGTGGCCTCCATCGTAGAGGCTGCTGGATGTCGCCATTCCCACCTCACCTTCTCCTTCCCAACCTTCCTCCACTGGTGCATGAGCACATAGGTGCCCTAGCACCTGGGAGCTTTCCCACTCTGTGACTTGTTCTAGGTCTTGCTTGCCCTTGGCTGGATTGCCTTCACCATGCTCCATCATCTCTGACTGGCCAATGGTCACGATTGGAGTGAGCGCTAAGGGAAAGTGCCCCTGAGCCTCCCCCCAAAAGGCTGAGGCCCCATGGATTGTACAGCCCCACTCCATTGCTGTCCTCCCTCCTGAACTTACATGGTGCGGCCCTCGGATTCATCCTGCTTGGTGATCCAGCTCTTGTCCCCTTTCAGTATGGTTCGAACTTTCATCTGCTTGAGGACATTATTGCGCTCCTCCTCACCTGGAGGCAGGGGCTTCCCTGGCAGGGCCAAGACCACACAATTTTAAAAGGGGAACCCTAGCCCCAAGGCCCTGCAGCCTCTTTTCTTTTCTTTTGCCCTCCCTTTGCTGCCTGGGCAGCATTCATGGCCCTTGTGGGTTATGTGGAACAAGACAAGTAGAGCACCTAGAAGCCTAAGCTCACCTTTGGTGCTGCTTCCCAGAGCTGAGATACTCATGGTGTTTGCTGCGCAGTTTCCTTCTCAGTTGATTCAGTTGTAGCTCCTGGGAACAAAGGCAAACATATGTTAGTAACTTCATATGTTTGCGATGGCTTGTGGGTCACTTCTATAGTTGGGATGTGGCTTAATCCCTAGTTCATGAGTTAGAAACTTGGTTTCCCAGTGTGACGGTAGTAAGGGGTGGCGGGACCTTTAACAGGTGAAGCTTACTCACAGTGGGGCTATTTCCGTGGGAATGAATTGTAGCTCATATGGAACTCTAGTTACTTCACATGGCTGAGTTGTTATCAAGGAGTGAGTCTGGCCAGGCCTCAGTCTCTTTCTGGCTTCCCATCTCATTGTGTGAGCTCATCCTCTCACATGCTGTGCTGCTACTGTGATGTCATCAGCCTAGAGACACTCAGCAGAGCCAAACTGCATGCCCACACCATGCCAGCCTCCTGAACTGTAAGCGAACCCAATCTTTTCTTTATAAAGTTCCCAGCCTCAGTAACAGAAAGAAGACTAATAGAGTCACTAAGTCATTTCTAGCACAAGAAGATCAATCGGTCTCCTTTGCCATGGGGGGTGGCAAAGACTGGTGGAGTCCTGACTGGAGGCCAAAGGCCAGGGAGCAAGCACGCACTGTACCTACCACTGGGGAGTGACACCGCTATCTGTTTGCATGGGACAGCTCACCTGGAGGGCACAGAGCTCTCAAGCTGTCAGGAACTGTCTATTCAAGTAAATCACTGATTGGGGCCAAGCATGAACTTCCTAATGAGTGCCAATGACCTCATTCTGTACCCTTGGTAGTGTGGGGGAGACTGCTGGCAGCAAGGGAGCCTCTGCAGGGTCTTGGAGACTGGCATGGGGTTAAGACAGTCCAACTGGATTCAGAAGGTGGGACTGGAGCTGGTCTCAGGGCAATCAGGTGGCCTGACTTCCACGCATGTAGGGAGGACAGGGCTTGAGGAATCAGCTGCTTTGGGGCTGGACCATTTCTGTAACCCTTAGTAGCTGTCTGATGGACTTTGGACAGGTCAGACAATCTCTCCATGCAGCCTCAGCTTCATTTCTTCATTCGTAAAATGGGACTAGGAGTCTGACTTTCAGGATTTCTGTGAGGACAGGAAAGATGATTGCACAATTGGTCAGGAGCCAAGTAGCAGTAACTCTCAACTTGTCTTTGCTGGAAGAGGGAGGGTCCGTACTTAAATGGTCTGGGGTAATGCAGCTCTCTTTGGTTTAGGCTTGGCTCCATTTCCAGTGAGGAAAGCCTAGAGACTCACTGCTAACTCTTAGCAGGACCAGATGAGGGTGAAGTTCTGATCAGGCCCCACATTAGTGTTTTGCTTTGCTCTTCCTCTTGCCTCCTCTGTGCCCTGCAGGGTGGGGGAAAGGCAGCAAGGGGTGGGCCATGCTGGTCTCTGAGCCCCTCACAACTCGAGGGCTGTCCACCTGTCCTCCAGGCTGGGAGTGACTCAGAGCAGCAAGGATACCAATGGTCTAGGATGTGGGTCTACTCGCTGTCTAGAGTGGTTTCAAAAGAGGATCTGGGAGGCTCAGAGGGGTCAGCAGGTGAGAAGAGAGGGCCGGGCTGTGCTGGCACAGTTCTGGGGAAGGAACAGCTTTTCTCCCCAGGGGCTGCCACCCTGTGGGCCCCTCCGGGGCTAGGCTCTGCCAGCTCTGTACTGCTGCCAGCTGGCAAAGCCTGGACATGTGTGGAAGTCAGGGGCACACTAAAAGGGGCAGGGCAAGGGGCCAAGACTAAACCAAATTAGCCACGTCAGCAAGAGCTGGCTCTCCCATAAACTGCACCAAATGAGCAGTCCAGGCAGCCCAAACCCACTGCATGCCAGGAACGGCACCTCATCATGGAAGATGGGAGTCCTGCATGCCCAGCCCCTGCACTGAACTCAGCTGCCACATCAGACTGCTGTCAAGATCTCATTCCACAGGTGATCTTACAGCTGCATAGGCCCAATTATCCAACTGTCTCTATCCTGGCCTCCTAGGGAGTGGCCTTACAGGCTGGGGCACAGGGGTAAAGGCAGGCCCAGGTAGCCTGAGATCTTGGTCGTTGGTCTCCTGGTGCTACTTGGAGAACTTGTGGGAGTCCTTTGCTTTATCTGGGCTTTAACTCTGCACCTGCAAGCAAAGACCTCGTACTACTTGATCTCACAGGGTCTTTCTAACCCTGTCAAGCTGTTCTTGCTGATTTAGATTACTTTCTTCAGGGAACCTCAAGGACATTCTTCCTTTTCAGGACCTCAGAGGCTGTGGCCACTGGTTTTCACACATGAATTCCATCCCAGGCCCAGCATGAGACTCAGGAGCTCCTTAGATTCCCTTGATAGATTTAATGGCCATGCTGCCTAGACGTCTTCTGTCAAATCTGAAGCACATAAGCTATTTCTCAAATCAATATAGACTTATACATGTGCAGAATGACATAAGCAGAGAGGCCATTGGCAACTCCCAGGCCAAAGGGGCAGGGACAGGAGCAGATAAACACCAGGGCTGATACTTCTGCATGGGCTACTCTCTCTCTCTCTCTCTCTCTCTTTTTCTCTTGGAACAGGCTGCATCTCAGAAGTCCAGTTTCTTTTTGGATAAGACAATAAATCAAAAAATCACTGGTAGAGTAGATTGAAGAGAAGGGCAGCTCTTTGGAATAATAAAAAAAAAAACCTTTAAGTTGATCTGTCTTAATCAGGTGGATTGATAAGTGGGGTTAGCTTCTAAGTCTTAGCCAGAGACCTGCCATCTTTTTTCACTTTGCAATACTCTCCCATCTCCCCTCTTGGTTCAGGCTGAGATAACTTCTTTTTTTTTTGTCGATTGTGGGGCTTGAACTCTGGGCCTGGGCGCTGTCCGTGCCCTCCTCAGCTCAAGGCGAGTGCTCTACCATTTGAACCACAGCACCACTTCCGGTTTTCTAGTGGTTTTTATTGGCGATAAGAGTCTCATGGACTTTCCTGCCCGGGCTGGCTTTGAGCCACGATCCTCAGATCTCAGCCTCCTGAGTAGCTAGGATTACAGGCGTGAGCCACCAGCACTTGGCCAACTTTTTTCCTGGTCATCCTGCATTCATCTGTCCTTCCTGCCAATAGCATTCATTGACTCCAATCCTACATTTCCATATCCACCCCCATGTCTCACTCACCTCCTGATGTTTCCCTAGTGTTTCCAAGGGAATAATCTAGAAGTCCAACAGTCATACTAAACATAGTATGGCCAATCCAATCAAGCACACACTATTTCAAATTATACACATACACAAATATCTATATCTGGGGCGGGGAAGGTGGCTCAGTGGTAGAGCGCTTGCCTTGCATGCATGAGGCCCTGGGTTCCATTCCTCAGCACCACATAAGCAAAAAGAAAAAAGCCTGAAGTGGCGCTATGGCTCAAGTGGTAGAGTGCTAGCCTTGAGCTGAAGAGCTCAGGGACAGCACCCAGGCCCAGAGTTCAGGCCCCACGACCAGACCCCCCCAAAAAAAACAACAAATATCTATATCTATATCTATAATTTAACATGTCTTCCTATATAGTCTGTAGATTTAACCAACCTCAGATCAAAAGTACTAAAAAATTGCATCTATACAGCACAGAATAACCACCATTCGCATAGCAATGCCATTGTATTATAAAAAATCTAGCGATGATTTGAAGCACGTTGGAAGATGCACAAGGAGCACGAAAATACAACACAATGTTATAGAAGGAACTTGAGCACCTGCAGACTTTGAGGCAGGTGCCTTTGGAGCTTGATCCAACAGTGAGGTCATGACAGCAAGAGAAGCAGTAGAAATATCCCTGAGGGAGGAAGCCACATTCTTTGCTTCAATGTGCAAGGGACACAAACTAGGACAGATGGCTGAAAAACAGTGCACACGTGGCCCACTAAAGGATCTGTTCCCTGCTTTGAGCAGAAGCACTGATCAGGTTAGGAGGAATCCCTGTACAGCACACACACACACACACACACACACACACACACTCAGGGCAGGCTCCACAATCCTTGGTAAGTCAGGGTCTATGCAGAAAACAAAGTACTCAAAGAGACAACGAGAACTCCCTGCCTGTGAGGTTTGCATCTAGAAAGTATAAAGTGTGGTATCCAGACTGATGAGTATTGTCCTCTGTGGGCATATGTGCTCAGCACAGCCTCAGACGCTTCTGCCTTCATATAAACAGAACGGGGAGAAGCGGGATAGTGAGGTCCCTGGCACAGATGTGTATGGCCCACAAAATATTTATGGCCCTATAGTTACTCCCCCAGGACCTGCTCTCTCTGCACTTAGGGTAAAAATAGCAAGTATAGAGTCAGTCAGCCTTGGGAGAAGCATCTATAGTCTGCCTCAGACTTTTCCGCTTTTCTCCAGCTGCCGCCAGTTCCAAGCCATGCTGTAAGAAGACCTGGCACTAGGCCACATGGGGCCCTGGGAAGTGCTAGCAAAGCTGGCCCCCATCACACAGTACATCCCACGAGCCAGGTCAGCACTCTGCATTAAGGTCCAGAGAACGGGACACGGACGCCTGGCAGCACAGCTGCAAACCACAGGCATTAACTACAACTTCATTCCTGCTTCACCATGACCAAATGAACCCAGGATAGGTCAGGGGCTGGCCCAGGACCATACTCCCAAAGATTTGAGCTGTGGCCCATATAGGAGCCCTGCTAACCGCATGCATGACAGCATCTTACGCTCCTGGTGTAAAGGGACAGGATCCGGGCACACCCACTACCGGCCACCTCTCCTTTCTCCTCCAAAGCTGAGCATTGGGGCCAGCCAATACATAGCCTGACTATGCCCCCCGACTTGCCAGCTGCTTAGACTTATCAGCATGTTACTCCCGAAACCGACTGAAGAAGAGCAAGGCCTCCACTTCGCTGTGCACCCTGCCTTCTGTTGCCTCTGTCAGGCTCGTGCCTGAGATCCACAATTCTGAAAAAGTTCAAGAGCAAACTGCTGGGATTGGGGTTCCTTCCACAAACTTAAGTCATCCTGGTCCATCAGCTTTGATGTTGGAGGTGGCCCAGCCAGAAGGCAAATA